ATCTAACTTATTTAGGAGAAGATGCTATTTGTCTACAACAAATTCCGTGGCTCCATAAACAACTTTTTCATATCAAATAATGAGAGTTAGTTTGTTCAATTTTCAAGAGAAAGTTGATTTGTGGGCCCTAATTTGTTCAAGAGCATCTCATTATCGTAGGAAAAAAAAATAGAATAATTAGAATATAAAATTAAAAGGAGGACTTGATCATGACTTTGTTTGATAATGAATTCATAAGTCCCTTAATTCATGGTGTGGGTGATTAGTTAGTGCAGAACTAGATAACAGGTGAAGCCATAGAAGAGCTTTTCTACACCTGCTGCTTGACGTGGAATTTTGCTTTTCTTGGCATTAAAACATACAATCTTGAACTTCTACTATAAGGAAAGCAAATCAAGTTTCAAATACAGATTTGCCTTGGGGTTTCTTGCCCAAAGTAGTAATTACATGTTTGTTCATATATAGGAAAGCTACGTAAAATAATTTGTAACGCGTAAAACCGAATAAATCATTTCCAAGTAAAGTCACATCAAAATTGCAAAACCATGCCCCAAAAAAGCAAGAGAGCGGTAAGGGTTCTAGGATGAGACATGAGAGAAGCTTATTTGCACTTGATCAGGTACCATTACTATGATATTTTAAGCAAATCAATTATTGTTATATATTATGTGTTGTATTTTTTTCACATAGCAATGAGTGATATTTAAAAGTATCGGTTATTAGTTCTCCTCTAACTAGATATACCAAGATAGTAACGTTAAATATCACATATTTAATGGATATAGAATGTATATCAAGCACTAGATTCCAAAAATCAATATGATAGAGAATGAATTAACAATGTATATCGAGCTAACACCCTCATTCCCGGAACCTTGGAAATGCCAACTCTACCAAATCGAGACCTCCAGATCTTACACCCAAACTAGAGACCTGAGAATCCATTCCCCGGACCTTGGAAATAAAACTGTACCAAATTGATTCCGTTACTTGATCATATTGTCTTACAATAATCTCATATGACTTTGTAGTTGGTAGATAACTAAATAATTAATGGCTTATTGCATCGCTAATTTCAAGTAAATAATTATAAATTGTACATGTGGTTCACGTTCATAAGATTCAATGCCGACCAAGCAATGTCTCTGCAACAATTGATGTGAAAGCCGAATCCAAACCAATAGCTGAATGCCAGGTAGAAGTGTCATGTTGTATGTTGAGAGTTAAGATTACCCTACTTCTTGACAGGCCAACAATGATTTATCACAGAAAAATAGAAGTTTGTGGTTGGCTTACTCCGATGTACACAAATCAACTCCCTGCTCTAAATTTGTTTTTTTTCACCAACTGCAATTAAAAAGATAGGGTTGTTTATAATAATCGCATATATAATTGAGACTCTGACCATTTTGTGGAAACTTGTTGATTGACAACCACATCTGTCTTTGTCCCTCGATGATCGATCACTTTAATATTTTAGAAGGTGTCAAAATATAAGCATATGTTATCGTCCCACTGTATCTGTCTCACCCTTGTTCCTCACATTGATAATTTGATATGGTGGAAGCTCGTCGTGCCTACTAGCTTGTGCTCTGCATCCATTACTCTTATTGCTTTTATTGACCACCTCCACAAATATGGTGGTTTTCATGTTTTTAGTTTTGCTCACCATTGTCTCACTGCCTTACTTATTGTAGTTAGATGAGTTTATAATTTAAGATTTGTGTCTATTTATTACACAAATTTCGAAATTTAAATTCATCCAACAATAATAAATATGGTGGTGAGCATCATCATCACTTGAGAGTAGTAAAAAAAAATATTTCCAATTACATTACGCGAACTTTTGGTTTATGCTCCGTCAATGGTATAGTTATGGGAAAAACTCACTATCTACACCATTAAATATAATCAAAATAAGTTAGCAAAGATAATCCAGGTAAGTAAGATATAGCCCTAGGTTAGCCTTCTACACAATCTGAAATCAGTTACAGAATCCCAAAAACCTTGCTGCGTCGGCCGGTTGCACCATTGTTGAATTCAAAATATCAAAGGTCTCAATGGCAGGAATTTCTTATATAAAATCCAGGTCCTGTAGTGAAGGTTTATAAGGAAGTAATTAATTCCATATTAAGTCCCCTTTTTATTTTCTTTTGATTGCTTGGTGTCTCGTCATCAGATAAACTTTCCAGAACATTCTTCTAATTTGGCTCGTAGATTTTATTATTACCTGAAATTGAGGTTGTGTTTATGATGTATGTTATCTCATTGATTTGGGGTTGTGATTTGTGTAAGCTTTGAACGTTGGTATATATTTAAGTTGCAGTGGGGTTTTTAGCTTCATTAGTTGCAATAGGGTTTTCTGAGTTCTTTTCCTATAGGTGATTTATTTTTAGTCGAAATGATGCAATTAGCAATTTCATGAATGAAATGAAACTCTTGTTCTGTAGTGTAGGTTGCAAGGACGTAAGTGTTTTTCCAGTTTAGATATCTCTTTGATAGGTATGTTATGGTTTGGGATGAAAATAGAAAAGAAATGAATGGTTTCTTTGGTAGATATGTTATATATGTATGAACATGCCCGTGGCAAATTCAGCATATGCCAAGAAAAGCCTCGACTTCAGCCAATAATAAACAACAAAACGTATGAAATTAAACACAAAAATTAAGAGCTCATTTGTAAGTGCATTTAAAATGACTAGAAATGTTTTTAGAAAAAAATGTTTTGGATTCTAAAGCACTTGAATAACTTTTGCATGATTCATTTACATTTTTATTAAAAATTGATTTCAAAAGTATTTTTACCAAAATCACTTCCAATAATTTTAAAAGTAATTTTAAATAAATTATAATTGAAAATGTGTGCCTAATAGCCAAGCAGGGTAGAGTGGGTATGAAAAGAAATAGTAAATGACTCATCACCTCAAATGATGAAAGTTTGCAGCTTGTTTGCGTGCAATAGTATTGGTTAAAGGATTTAATTTAAAATTTCAAAATTTTTGGGTTTTCCCTAAAATGGGTTTGATGCTTTTGAGTTGATATCAAGTTTTCTATTCTATTATTCATAGACCTAACTATGATATATTGACTATTAATTTACAATAACATAAATATTGATAATTAATTAATCTAGAAAACAAAGTCATCATAATACATACCTTTCTTTTTCTACTTATTGTATAAAAATTGATATCTTTAAACCTTTAATCAAATTTTCAGTTTGAAAAGGGATTCGATTTGAAGAGCATCTTGTTGATGTTGAAATGTTATAAAGTTCTGATTGCCCACGATGTGATGCAAAGAGAAAAGAATTGTGGTCATTTTCAAGAGCGTGGGCAATGCTCTTAATAATTAATGAGAACCATCTCCAAATTCCCTTTTGTGAGAATCTTGAGAATCTTTAAATTATATTTGTTCATCATATATTGTGCAATCAATTTTCGTCAGATATTATTCATATTTAATTTTAAATAAAAATATTTAAAATAATTTTTAACCGTACAATATACGATAAATGAACATAATTTGAGATTTCTCGTATCCTCACAAAGAGGATCCTTATTCCTTAATAATTAGATCTTAGGTACTTAGACAAGAGTTGTTGTCACATTTTCAAGGGCCCTGGCAACCTGTCTTTAACCTATCAATTTGGACCCATGAAAACCCAAAAAAGAAATAGAATCTGGATAATTGATTTGCCATTCTGTGCTAAACAATCCTCACTAATTCGTGTACATTATCTAATAGCCACATTATTGTCACATATCTTGTAATTAAATGTTGACTAGGGAAATGATTATATTATTTTTTTAATCTTCTGCAAATTTTTTCTTAATTTCAACTGCTAAATGTGTTTGATTTGTTTGCTTCAAAATCTATTTTTCTCACCTTCACACTTGACTTTAATTAAAAAAACTAATGTGCATAAATAATTTTCGATCTATAAAATATAAATAAAAATTTCATTTTTCTCGCACATTAGTACTAATTAACTTCAAGTTAAGAATTGATTTTTGAGAAGCGTTATTGGCATTCCTAAAATCTCATTCTGCACTCCTCACAAGTGTATTTTTATTTCTCAATATAGAAAGTTTGAAATGTAAAATAAGATTTTTGGAACCAATTCCTTTAATTTTTTTGTTCATTTAAATGTCTGGCAAGACGGTTGAGATATCATTTCAAACACCAACCTAGCTAGCTAGGGTTTTCACTTTACATTGTCTATATGTAAGGACAAAATTTTCTACTTTGAATTCCACTATTGATATGAGAGTGAGCCACGTTTACAGTCTGGAGGAAACTTTTATTTAAACGTCCAAAAGAGATGGTCGCAATCTTTTAATCAAAGTTCACCAAACTTCTACCTTTTTATTTTGGCATTCTAATTAAAGTTGCGATCAATTTTCTTTGTGACTTGTTTCACAGTCCGTAACCGACAACATGAATTCTATGTCGAGGGATAAATCCTTGCTCTCTTTATTAAACCCAATAGGCACATAGAAAATTCCCCTAGGGTAAAAACAAGGCCTGCTTGATGCAGTTTATTAGTTTATTTATAAATAATAGAATTTAAATTCAAAGTTTATGGATGACCAAAAGTTTTAAATTCGACACTTATAAATAACTAAGGTTTTTTTTAATCAAAATGGTCTCTAAGATTTGCATAACACATAGTTTTGGTTCATGAGATTTAAAATCAATGTGGTCCTTGAGATTATCCACCATCTATTATTTTGATCATTCCGTTAAAAAAACTCCGTTAAGTTGAGGGTATAACATATAACTTTGATCCATGAGATTTGCATAACACATAATTTTGGTTCCTGAGATTGTTCATCATCCATCATTTTGGTCATTCCATTAAAAAGCTCAAGGACCACTTAACGGTGTTTTTTAATGGAATGACCAATATCAATTAATTTAACCAAATCCTTCTCCCTCCTTGTATTTCTTTCTTCTACGCTAGTGGCTAGCTAGTGGTATACCACGCACTAACCTATATAAACATACCTGCTAGGGTTAGGGTTAAGTCACCAAGCGACTAATACAACGCGCCCCCAAACCCCCTCCTTTTGTGAGCTCCTCAGTAATCCTTGTTTGGATGATTAAAGTACTGAATATATAGAGAGTGCAGAGTACTGTACTTATTGCTCTCAAACATCCAATTACATCAACACAAAGGCGGACTAGGGTTTTCTGAAGCATGAAGAAGCGCCAAGTGGTGGTGAAACGAGATGGATCGGGGAGGAGCTCAAGTACTTCATCTTCAATGGTGAGAACTGTGAGGTATTGCGAGTGCCAGAAGAATCATGCTGCAAATTTAGGAGGGTATGCTGTTGACGGGTGTAGAGAATTCATGGCAAGTGGTGAGGAGGGGACGACTGAGGCTCTTACATGCGCTGCTTGTGGTTGCCACAGAAATTTTCACAGAAGGGAAGTGGAAACTGAGGTTGTTTGTGAGTATTCTCCACCCAATTCTTATGGCGAATTGTGTACTCAATAATCAAATGAATCATGTATATAGGGAGAAAAAGGGTCTTGATTTCTGAAATTAACTGATTGTGAATTGTTCTCGAATTGTTCATCGATATCATTGTCAACAGATAAGTTTCGATTGATGTTGTTTACATGTTCTTGAGATATGGTTATGGCTTCAGAAACTAATACATCATGCTTTGATTAAGTTTGAATCTTTTATTTCCTATAAGATTATTCATGGTTCCGGTTTTATTCTTTGTTTGCCTTTGAATTTCTTTGAGAATTTATCGAAATGAAACTACCATAGTTCAACTATATTGAATTTGTTGGCATAATAAAGCAACATTAGGATAAAATATACATCAAAACCAGAGGGGAAAGATGGCGGAACTTCACCAGTTTCCTACCAATATATTGAGTGAAACAAGGATGATTTTTCTTCTTCTTCTAAGGATAGGTGTATCATATAATAATCAATCTCCTACATCATCAACAGTTTTAATCATTTTTAGCTCCAGGACACTGATCATTTTCCTTTTACCGTGAATATGTTATAACTTCTTATAGGCCCCCACATCCAATCATGTTAGCAGCACATCCTAAAACCTATTTAATATTGGTTCAACAAAGCTAAGCTTAAAATGGAAATTATAAAGCTATGGTACTGTGGAGTGTCCCTCATCTCTACTTTTTGGCGGCCATCCGCTGGAATTCGTTGGAACCAAATAAAAGAGAAAATAATGTAAATTAAAAGAAACAGCTTTATTAAATTAGCTAGTGGAAACTGCACTTCGATATCCTTGGAGACATTTGGCCCCTCTTTATTTTTCTATTCATGTTTGTACCGTTGTGTAACTGGCTGTGCACAAGCTTGACAGCCTCTAATTTATAACTAATTAGCTAATTAGTAGCTTGCTAGCTCGTGAGTAGTAATATTGCATATTTAATTTGTAAGGTTATCTGGATATTCTTGATGGATAAAATCTTCTTCAACTCACTGTGTTTCGTTTGTAATTATAACAAATATTATATGATTCTCTCCACCCCTCCAATATTGTGTCCGAATTTAGCATGGATTTGTGAGATCTCTTAAGATAACTAGTAGGGAGACTTTAGGGCATGTAAGAAAGTTCTGTAAGCTATCGATCATATGAACACTTATATTTAGGGCTTTATAATATGCAAGTTAGATTATATCTCATGCATGGTTGTAAAGAACTCTCCTTGATGAGATTTCTTTGGTTAGAATATTACTGGTGCGGATATGTGAGAAGCACTCTTAGGCAATTAATATAAAGAATTTAGGGCAAGCATGGATGCTCTCAATGCCACTATATATCGAACACATGAAGAATTTAGATTATTATTTTAAGGGCTTCTCACAAATAAGTATGTAACAACTTCACCTTCAACTATACTACTTCAAAAGAAAATAAAACAAAAACACACATGACAAGTGGTTAGGTAAGGAGTTTTTTCTCTAATTAATTGGTTTTATAAGGGGTTTTGTACAAACAACAAAAAGGTTACTCCTTTGTGATCGAAAGGTCATGGGTTCAAGTCATAAAAATAGTCTCTTTGCAAAGATTGAGAATGATAGACGTTCGCATTTGATCTTCGAAAAACGGAAAGCCTTAATGGTTTGGGATCATCTTTTTTGTGTTATTCTAATTACTATTATAATAACGAATCGATATTAAACATGTGTATAATCAACAAACAAAAGAGCAAGTTAGATTATAGCTCATGCATGGTTGTAAAGAACTCTCCTTGATTAGATTACTTTGGCTAGAATATATTATTGAGTACTTGTAGTGCTAGTGTTATAGACATTAAATCTCAACCGTGTCACACGAATGAATATAGCATTATATCTTTTCACTCAGGCCAGCAGCAGAATCATGACTGCAATAGTGCTGATTAGATGTGGGTTGAGTCATGTCTGGTGTAATATTCCAGTATGATCAGTAGGTATTAAGCAATACAAAGCTTAGCTCAAACCAATATATTTACCAGGCTGTTTATGTATAGGGATTTCCAATTTTTTCAAAAAATAGGGATTAGTTGTAGGACCTACACTACATCGAACTTCAACAATTCGAACCGTTTATTTTTTTAAGCCTAACTAGTGTCCATTTAAAAAAAAAAATTGAGAATCCATTCCCTTAAAGACATCCTCTCTCTCTCTCTCTCTCTCATAGAGATTGTTATTTGGCGCTCCAAATTGGATAGTCATTCTTCATTCTTCTCCGAACACAATTTCTCTTTTATATTTATAAAAGAGGAGTTCATGCCACATGAACATTTTAAAGTACCCAATAACAACTCTCAAATTGTAAACAGCATCGTATATGTACGGTTCTCATATGAATACGTACAGCTACACAAGAGTAGTATAAAATCAATAATTAAGCAGTATTCTCAACATATGCATTACTTGATTTGGGATTTGGTGCTTCAAGCCAATGCATATGGCTAGGCAATACAAGCATGCTGTCGTTTCCCAGTGGCAACAAAAGAATCAAAAGCTATACCAATATTTTTGTCCAATACTAGTCGGTGGCATGGCTCCACACTTAATATAGAACAATACTTGACTACACAAAGATGAGTAGAAGCTTCTACTCAAAACTCTTAATGTTTTAATCACAGAGTTTTGTGCTTATGATCAGAACCGTTCATATTATGAATCACAATGTAAAGATCATCTCTACAAAAAAATAAATTAAAACTAAGGTCGTTTAGTCAATCTATTGTAGCAAATACATAGACGGTCTGTAATACTCTTACCAATACCGTTCATTTGTTTTTAAACAGTTTGATGACTAAACGACCTTAGTTTTAATTGATTTTTTGTAGAGTCGATCATTATAGGGTGATTTATAATATGATCGATTCTGATTATAAACATGAAGTTCTATAAATTAAGAATGAACAATTTTGAGAAAAAGAAGAATATATTTTACATAGGCTTTTTAGCCAAAATGGTCATTGAGATTTGCATGACACATCACTTTGGTCATTGAGATTGAAAATCAATAGAAATGGTCCCTGAGATTGTCCACCATCCATTATTTTATTCATTCTATTAAAAACTCTGTTAAGTATCTCGGTGCTCTTGGTTGGAAGTTTGGGCAATTTTTAAAGCTTCGTAACTCAATCGTTTCTTAACCAAATTCGACCCATAATTATCAAAATGAAGATAGGAAAATGTAGAACAAGATTATACCGATTTGGAAGCCCAATGGTTGCCGGAGATGGTCGGAAAATAGCTTGCAAGGTGATTGGTCTGCGGGAAAATTGGAAAACTAGCTGGAAACTGGGTAAATTTTAAACGTTCATAACTTCTTCAATACTCAACAAAATCGAGTCATTCAAAAATGAAAATCATACTTATCGATGAGAAGAAGACAATGGTACCTTTATAGATGACTAAATCGCTGTGGTTTAGCCAGAAAATGACTCGAAAATGGTTGTCTTGGTCTCGAGTTAGCCACTTTCGAGCTGTTTTCCGGCCAAACCATAACGAATTAGCCATCTAGAAAGTACCATTCTCTTTGTCTCATCAAGAAGTATGATTTTTGTTTTTGAATTACTTGATTTCGTTGAGTATTGAAAAAGTTAGGAACGTTTAAATTTTACTCAGTTTCTGACGAGTTTTCCAAAGAACCAGTCACCTTTCAGGCTATTTTCCGGCCATCTTCGGCAACCATCGGGCTTCCAAATAGGTATATCTTATTCTACACTTTCCTATCTTCATTTTGATATATTATGGGTCGAATTTGGTTAAAAAACGATTGAGTTACTAAGCTTTGAAAATTGCCCAAACTTTCGGCCAAGAGCTCCGAGACACTTAATGGAGTTTTTAACGGAATGACCAAAATAATGGATGGTGGACAATCTCATAGACCATTTCTATTAATTTTCATTCTCAGGGACCAAAGTGATGTGTTATGCAAATCTTAGAGATTATTTTGGCTAAAAAACCTTTTACATAGCAATGAAAAATGATTTATACGAGTGCTGAGGAGAAAAACAAGCATATATAAATCATTTCCCATTTAAATAGGTAACCAAAACACAATTCAATTGCCACCCTAAGTTCCAAGTTCCAACTAATTGAAATTGGGAAGACATTTTTGGAGAACTTCTCATATACAACTATGGATACAATCTCATCACACCTATGAATTGCCGACTATCGGTCACCAAGGTTCAATTCCATAAGTAGCGATAATTGTTGTATGAAGACTCGCTTCCGCTACGGTTCTTGTGGGTTTTCCTTAACCAAGTCACTGCCTATGTGTCATTGACTCATTTTTTTCAACACATATCACATGATTTGGAGTTATTGTGTTATATTATTATGTTTATATCGATTTATGTATTGATAAAATGATGAGTTGAGATGAACACATGGATAAAAAAATAGTAAACTGAACACAAGTAGATTGCCACCCTTAGATCTAAGTTCAAACTTATTAAAAATTGAAAGTCATTTCATGAGAAGTTCCCACATGTAACCATGGAGACGCCCATTACTTTTTAATCCTTGTCCTGTGACTTGGTCAAATTTATAAGGCCATCTCCAATAAAGAGAGTTAAACGTCCAAAAGTCAAAAAATGGTCAGAATAGTCTCATAACTCATCTCTAATGAATGATTAAGCTATAATTTAATGGAGCTCATTAATCTATATTTTGGCCAAAAAAGCATCGGGATAGCCAAGCTTGACCCTCCTCCCAACCCGTTTTCTGTGGCCAAGTAGCAGAGCTACATATACACATTTAAATCCAACAACAGGGAAGGGCAACTGCTAGCTGATGTTAGCTATCTGCTAATTTTTTTTTAGGTGGAATTCAAAAAAAAAAAAATCTATTTTTTTTCTATAAGTGTCTATCTCATTTCCCACACCTTCTTCACCCTTACATACTATCTTACCTTTTAATCCAATTTTTCATATTCTATTCACCTGAGAGTCTCAAACATTATTTTCATAAACACACCTCTCTTACCTCTTCCAATTATTTAAATTTACATTTTTCAATTTTTTTTAAATGGCCACCTCCGAAAAATTATTGAGATTATATAAAGATAAGAAATTTGGAGACCTGCCCACTTAGCGACACATGACACTCAAAAATCATGTATGAACAACCTTATTTAATATGGTACTTTTAACTAAATTAACCAATAAATTTAAAAAGTAAACTCAAAACTAATAAATTACTAAGAAAGCTATGCTTAGCCCTTTTGGTTGAAAATGATATATGAATATGGTCGAATACTGTTCATTTAAAGTAACTTATTGTATAACTATAATTCTGAACAAAGCTATGTTTAGCTCGTTTATCTAGAGATGACCTAAAACACCTAGTTGAGAGAGATAGAGGGACACCAAAGTTGTACCTGAAAAGTGACATCTGACCAGACCCATAAACCACACTCATCTCATTTTGGGAGTGGGTGATCAAAAACAAAAGACATGGAGCTATTGGTTAGGTAATATATATGGGTAGCTAGATTTTGGATTTAGCAAGAGAAAGGGCAAATGATAGGGGAGTCTCATGGTAGGGATGCTATGTCCACAAATCCAGTGGGGCCATACTTGGGCTCAACTTATGATGGCCCCTTGCAAAAGGGTTACTTCATATTTTAGGCCCAATCCCATGCTGTCATAGGCCCACACCATTTTTGGAGCCCAGTGAAAAGAAAAAAAAAAGCCTTTCATTCACTTCAGCCCTCTCATGGGAAAAGACACAAATAGACAGGAAAGGTTGGGATTCCGGATGTCCATTATTTACGGCACACGACATGTACTCCTGTCGTTTTGGCTTTTTAGTCATGTGCTCGGTTCAGATAGGGTCACATGCTCACATGGCTCTCGATATCAAACTCCTCCCGTGGGCCGGTCCCACTGTTTCAATTATTGGGGTCCCATTATTTTTGCATCCTACACTTTGGCACACCATAGTTTCTTGACACCCAACCCTAAGATCTTGCCACGTCATCCACGTTGCATCAATTCTTCATTCTCTACGTGGGGGAACTCATTTCCCACTAACGTGATAGTATTTTATACAATACGATTGATCAAAAGTGTTCATTCTTTTATCATCAAAAGATTTTTTGTAGAATAATTTATTCGATTTGAAAACTTGCTAATCATGATTTGTGTCTAGCGAATTTAGAATCCTGGTACTCAATAACATTCTCATGATGAACTTTTATATTTGATTTAGCGAAAAAATATTTAGTTAAAGTTAATAAAAAGTTAATAGAATATACCTAAAAATATTCCTTCTAGATTCTAAAGCGGGTCGGATCCGATGAATTTGGATTCGGTTGCCAGAACCAGATTCAAATTCTAATTCCCGCGTTAGAATCTAAAAGAAATATTTTCAGGTATATTTTGTTAACTTTAAAGATGGATGATGAGGTCTACAAGTCAAATGATTTTTTATAAATAATTTTTAAAAAAAAGTTCTAATTATAATTTGATAAATGTGATGGAAGCCGTTTGTTTTGATAGGACTGCGGTGTATGATACTGTAGTGTGTGGGTTCACGTAGGATCCACCTTTTTTTGGGTATTTTATAATTTATTTGTTAGTAAAATTTATTGATATACTTTATAAATGATGAATCTTTAAGATCTAATTGCCCGACTCGCTCTGTTTTTGTGGACCTGCACGTAACGACCTTCCCATGTTACTGCAAATCAACTGAAAAGGTACCACATCTGTGGAATTACAGTTAAGCCCTTCCAAATACTATCCATAATGTCGCATGCACCTGTGTTACGAATGTACACTCCTGTTTATCTTCGTTTCTTGATCTCCTTTAATATAATCGATCCAAAGCAAAAAACGTACATGTATATGCAGAAAAATGAAATGAAGATGAGCGGAAATTATTTATGAGGAGAAAACGAGAATGTTAAGCAATGCACAAGCTTGACTAAAAAAAGTAACGTAACAGTTGAATACTCCGACTACCGAACACATTTTACGCTTTATCTCTATATCTAGAAAACGAAAAACTGTTCTCTTCGCTAACGTGGACAATTTCGGAATAATTTACACAATAGGGCAGTATTCAATCATGGCATCTGCCCTTCCCCCTTCAAAGATATCTATATATATAGCTAACCCTAACACTCACTCTTGCATTCTAAATCAAACCCCACACAGAAACCAGTCCTCTTCTGCATCTTTCTTCCTTCCTTCCTTCCTTCCAAAGAGGCAATGGCAATGGCTAAGCTTGTCTGCCTTCTGCTGCTAGCACTCCTTGGGATTTCCATGGCTGCAACCCAGGTGAGTAGTCCCTCTCCTCCCACTAAACCAACACTTTTTTTTCCATTTTACCCTTTCTGAAGTACACTATTTCTTGTTTACCAAAGAAAAATGGTACACTATTTCTTAATCATTTTCTATATTTTTTTTTTCCATGTTTGTAGGTTATGGCAAAAGAAGAAGCCCGGAATCAGTTGGACAGTGTAAGAAATTTTTAAATAAATGCAATATTATTTGAATATTATGGCTAAAACTGGCATTTTCTAATAAAATGTAATTTTTATATTCTTTTCCAGGGAGGATATGGTCCTGGGAGTCTCAAGAGCTACCGTAAGTAACATCTATCGTTTTATTTTGAATATTTTTCTTTGTAAATTAGGTTAGTTTAGTAATATTTTATCGAAATATTGACTTTTTTTACGTGGAATTACCAGAATGCCCATCACAATGCACAAGGAGATGCAGCCAGACACAATACCACAAGCCATGCATGTTCTTCTGCCAGAAATGCTGTGCCAAGTGCCTCTGTGTTCCTCCTGGCTTCTACGGCAACAAAGCTGTGTGCCCTTGCTACAACAACTGGAAGACCCAGCAAGGAGGACCAAAATGCCCTTGATCAACACTTCTGCTTAATCCATTTTTACCAAAATCATCAAAGATTTAAGTACCCAATTTCGTAAGTATTAATTTCGAATTGTGATCTTCTTCTCTGTAAAGGTCATAGGTTCGGTGACCTGGGAATGTTAGTTTAATTGCAGTAGTCCATTGCTCCTTTGGGAATTGGGATATTGGTTGTTAAACACCCTCTCCAAATGTGAGCGTTGACAGATAAATTTATGGTTTATTATGTTAATCAAATGTGATTATTTCATCTTCTTTCTCTGCCACAACTGCCGATTTGCACTGCAGTCGATGGCCAAAAAGTCAGTTGAGAAATAAAAATATAAAAAATAAAAAAGTGTTGTTATTATCATCCCAATATCTTATTTTCCAATTTACCTTTTAATGAAATTCTAATTACAAGTTTTCTCATTTGTAAAATAACCAATAAGGACCTTAAAAGATATATAATAATAATAAGTTGAGTGTGAAAGGTAATAGGAACCTAGACTTACATTGGGTTGTGAAAGGAATGCAAATTATGTAAGTTGAATTCGCAAAAAAAGACAAGGATGAGGATAGAAGGAATTTTGGAACGAAAAGATGTGGATGCTCCCTTTTCAATTATTAAAGGTAAGCGCTAGCAACTGATGATGATTAGATATTGATGGTAGTTACTAAAGTGCATAATCACACACAATAGAGCATTTGGAGGGTCATTTATTTGCTGATAAATTATCGTCGAGGAGACCTTGCTTTTGAAATTTCAATTTTTTTAGTAATAATATTAGGTGGCGAAATAGCATGTTAGAGGGTACTTCAGAAATAATTGTGAGTGGAGAAATAACATTTCAATTTTTTAACTTTTTATGTGGGTAGAGAAATAGGATATTGAGGTAAGTCTAGTAGTTCTCAAGATGAAATAAAATTTTGTAAGTTGCACTAAGGGTACATGATTAAAAGTTTGTACATAAGTTGCACATAATTAGTGCGATTGAGAAAGATGTCTTGTATATGCTCACGTGTGCAGAAAAGCTAGTATGATATAATTGCACAAAATTCTCAATCCTTGCTTAGGAATTTTTTAATGGAAGACTACCTACTAAATAAGAAATTGGCTTTGTTATTGTGACTCTTTAGTCTTTAAGGGTGCGTTTGTTGCATTGGACTGTCTCGGACTGGACTAGCTTCAGGGACTAAGTTGAACTGGCTTAGACTAGACTAAGCTGGACTAGCTTAGTGAAGTGTTTGGTGCAGTGTTGGACTAAGAAGCAGGATAATTAACAAAATTCAAAAATTATATTATTTTAAAGCATATCTAGAATATTTATATTAGTTCTTTCTCTTTTTTTTTTCTTCTAGAAACCCTTTTTTCAGAATGCTCTGTCGTCTCTACCTTATCACTCCCCCCTTTTTTCTCCATTCGTCTCAATCCTCTCTGCCTCTTGATTGTTTCCTTTAGCAGGCTTGGCCTGAACATTTGCTGCTTTCATGCAATCCCATTTGCAAAAAATCAACCAACGAAACACCTTTCAAAATCCCCAATTCCAAATAATTGCTTACCTTGTCTGGCGTACCAGATTCAGATCATGGTCTGCTGAAAACGAGAGTCGAAAATTGAATTCCCGCGACAGAACGCGACTAGTGGGGGAAGAATTAGTGGAAGCGGGGTGGTTGGTAAGTGAAAATTAAGGGCGTTTATGAGAGAGAGCGATGTATGTACATGTATGATATGAGATACGAAAAGACCCAGATGGTGGAAGACCCCAAATTATCGAACCCAGGTGAAAAAAATCCTTATTTTCGAGGATTGAGATCTCGTAAACGAGGCACAGGGTTTGGACGAGTCATACGAAGCAGCAGGGGGTCTTAGCAATCCTGTGATATTTGTGGGGTCTAGCTAAGAACTTTTAGTGAGAGAGTCAGTCGGAGTGAGTCCGACTTAATCCCATTAAACCTAATCCTTCAGCCTAACAAACATGGGACTACAATAATAACTAATCCAGTCCAATCCAAGGAGAGTTATTGAGCCCAAACAAACACACCCTAAGCGGGTTGTTCAAGAGTTGAAGTTTGGCTAATCCCAACACTTTCCTCCTCTAATTCAAAATGACATTACCCTTTGAATCTTTGATAATTTTAATAGTGAAAAAAAAAAGATTTAAATTACTCGATAAACGATATTTTTCTTACTACGCACGCAAATTTTCTTTTATGGTTCTAAAGATTTTCAATACTTTTCTTATTGCGCACACAAAAAATTTAAGAAACCCAACAATCGCATTTAAAAAAATATTTATGACCTCAATAAATAGTAAGACCATTTTTCATTGATTAAGGGCTCCTTTAGATGTGCTTTTAAAATAATTGAAATCGTTTTTAGAGAAAATATTTTTAGATTCCAAAAGCACTCGAAGTGCTTTTTGCAAGAAACATTAGTTATGTGATTCTTCTAGGAAGCACATTAAGTGTTTTTCCAGAATTTACTTGTATTTTTATCAAGAATATGTTCTAAAAACATTTTTATTAAAAACGCTTTTAGTCATTTTAAAAGCACATCCAAACGAACTTTAAATATACCTTTTTATACTCTTTAGTTACAAAATTGGCCAAAAGAAAAAAGGCGAACAAGTCATATTCCTTGACCCTCGCTTGAAGCCATGCCTCACATTTTTTTCATACCCAATCTTATTTTCGTCGTAGACTTCAGTTTGCATTGGAACGACTAAAATGACTCGTCTGTAGTTTTGGCACTGTGCAACTTCGGTGAAAGCCCTCTCTTCTCCGACGTACTCTCACAGTTCTTCTCAGCTTCTTTTAATAATTGTCTGTGGTCTCCCAATTGTCTCCGTTAAATTTGGTAACAAATCCAACTTAACCTACTTTATTAAGCAAGCAATTAAATGAAAATTGATAATAATTTATTGCAATTTCTGTCGGTCAACAATTTCACACGCCATCTCAAGAAATTTGAACCCTATTTCTCGCAATGTTTTCTGAGCAAAAACAAAGGCCATATTCTCGCAATTTTATTTGTTTGGACACTCGAAAGTTTTACACGTAACAAGTTCACATCTACAGTATATATTCCCATCAAATAATATAATCTCATTTTTATTCACCGCTCATAACAAAAAGTAAATTTATTTTATGTAAGTTGTTCGCCGACAGCACTGATAACATGAGGACGAGCACACCATAGCAGAACTCAAGATTCAAAATTTCCACAAGAAATGTTTCATAAAGTCACGAGCTTTCTGTTCTCCCCGTGAACAAACAAAAAGATTAGTATAAAAATGTTATTTTCATGATTTTTCAAATGCCATATAGCTCACCAGAAGGGATTAGAAATAATAATAAAATATTCATGGATTTTGTTCAAAGGTCCCTTTCTATGTTTTAGAATAGCTTCCTCCTCCAAGCTTGGTCCCTTTTGCAAAGGTCTGAAAATATATATATCTGCATGCCATGGAGTTTCAGAATCCCAGTTCATCAGGTGCAATCTTTTTTCTATTTCTAATCGACCCTTTTCATCAAATCATGTTTCTGTAAAAACCCAGTTAAGATATTTTATAAATTTTAATCCTTTCATGCTTTTCTGTTCTTTTTTTTTTTTTTTTGACTGCAATTTTAGCTGAACTACTTAAGAATCCAAATAACACTGTGTGCGCAGATTTATCACTTTCTCAGTTGCTCTGGCTATGATTTTAAGAGAGAGAGATTATGGTTTTTTTTTTTCAGAAATTCAAGGTTTTATGTGTAGTAAGTTCACAGAATATAGAGATTTATTTTCCATGAATGGAATCTTGATGGTTGTTGTTTTTAGAGATTTTGGCGACTTTTTTGGCAATTGAGCTGCTTTGTTGAGAAGCTGAACCGGAAGGCATTGAGTTTTTAGGAGAGTAGCATTGATTGCATTCCTTTTTTTTTTTTTTTTGCAATTGCAGTTGTTATCTTGTTCAATTTGCAAAACTCAGTAGAGTTTGGTTGCCTGAAATTTCATAAATGTTGGAAAAGAGTAGGATTCCATCGAAGTTTATTTTCTACTTGATAACGATTTCGGTGTTCCTTTTAATCTCTTCCTCTGTCTTCCTACTTCAGTTTAGCAATACTTCTTTTGCACCCACAGTGTTTAAGCTTATTGTTCTTAATGGCACATACTTAGAGCCCCTTGTAAAAAGTAGGGACAAAAACCTTCCTTCCTTCTCTTCCGAGGTTACCCGAGTTGATGCTCAAAGATTCACAAAAAGATGTGAATTGGGATGTCAAGTTTCCAATTCAAGCAAGAAGTTGGGATCTTTAGAAAAAAAGAAAATGGTTGCTTGTGACTCGACGCAGGCTCTCTTGAGGGTGTTTATGTATGAGTTGCCTCCTGAGTTTCACTTTGGGTTATTGGGTTGGAAGGGTAAGGAGAATCAAACATGGCCAAATGTCAAAAACCTGAGTCTCATTCCTGCTTACCCAGGTGGCCTGAATTTACAGCACAGTATCGAATACTGGCTCACCCTTGATCTTCTATCATCAAGTATCCCAACTGTGGTTAGACCGTGCACGGTAGTCAGGGTGCACAATTCAAGTCAAGCAGATGTTATTTTTATCCCATTCTTCGCATCCCTGAGTTACAACAGGCATTCTAAGCTTCGTGGAAATGAGAAAGTAAGTGTGAACAAGAAGTTGCAGGGCAAGTTGGTGCAGTATTTGATGGGTCGGGATGAATGGAAAAGAAGGGGTGGAAAGGATCATTTACTAGTTGCTCACCATCCAAATAGCATGTTAGATGCAAGAAAGAAGTTGGGCTCTGCCATGTTTGTGCTTGCGGATTTTGGAAGATACCCAGCTGAAACAGCAAATCTTGAGAAGGACATAATTGCTCCTTATAGACATTTGGTACTGACTGTTCAGAGCAGCAAATCACCCTCATTCAACGAACGTCCTATACTATTATATTTCCGAGGGGCAATATACAGGAAAGATGTATGTTTTTACCTCACTTACCTCTTGTCATGACATAAACAGCATTTTAATTACATTGTATTTGGTTTATATAGGATGATAAGGGTGCTAAATACATGGCGAAATTTGTTTCGATGAGCTCATATTACTCTGAGTTTGATCTCAGAAAGAATTATCTGGCAATTAGGAAATTCTTAATAGGGATGTCTCATTAGCTTTATATTTTCAAAGCTTGGTGACGATTTGAAATAGAGGAGCAGATAGTTTACTGTCATTATGATGGCAGTTTAATACATAAACTACTCCCCAGCATAGGGCAGTCTCCACAACGGATTGCTAACTTTATATAGTATGGTAATACATCCTGATTCCATTGAAGCATACAAAGTGTTTGTATCATGATTGACGTGATCTATTTCATGATCCTACTTCATCTATTCTGATATCCGATGCACTTTTGTCATTAGTTCTGGCTCTATGTTTATGTTACCCAAAAGCTGGTTACTTTCATTCTTCCTTTATATCATTCACTACATTGTTTTAGCACTAATCAGTTTTATAATTGCTAATATCTTACGTACGGTATTGTTACTTTAAACTGAACCAGGGAGGAATAGTACGGAAGAAATTGTATTATCTTCTTAAAGATGAGAAGGATGTCCACTTCACTTTTGGTAGCGTTCAAGGACATGGTATTAACAAGGCAAGCCAAGGAATGGCCTCATCAAAGTTTTGCCTGAATCTTGCTGGTGATACCCCTTCCTCAAATCGCCTATTTGATGCCATTGCTAGCCATTGTGTCCCTGTAATAATTAGCGATGAGATTGAGCTACCATTTGAAGATGTGTTAGACTACTCACAGTTTTGCATATTTGTTCGCTCATCTTACGCTAGTAAGAAGGGTTACCTACTGAATATTCTCCGAGGAATCAAGCAAGAAACATGGACCAAGATGTGGGAAAGGTTGAAGGAAGTCGTACATCATTTCGGATATCAGTATCCATCCCAGCCAGGTGATGCAGTTGATATGATTTGGCAGGCAGTTTCTCATAAGATATCCTCCAGAGTTTAAATTTCACTCCAGACAGTTTAAATTTCACAGGAAGAAGAGATATGACAGCTCAACTTCTGGTATAAGAACGAAATGACACTCACCCATCTGAAAGCGTTTCAAATGTTCAAAATCACTAAGATCTCTTGACCTTGCACCGTCGGGGAAACATCAAAATTTTGCCGAAGCCGGAGTACAAGGGACGTACAGGCTAAGTTGAGAACTTCAGATATGCAAGGGATTTTGTTTTTGACAGTATATATACGCACACATCGATACTGATTTAGTTGTAGTTACGTAATAAATTTCAATCCAATTATTCATTCATTTGTGAATATCTTTCAACAAAGAATTAGTTCTATTGTTACAGCTACCGTTCGCGAAATTTTGACTGTTTTGATGAAACTAAAACCAAAAAGCAACACTGGAAAAGGCATAAGTATTCACAACACAGAACTGTAGAAGTCCTTTTCTTTTGTAGGGAAATATCAGAAATGCTTGTAATCTGTGAGAGCTAGCATCGTCATTCTCTCAAAGTATTCATCTATTGGTTAGGACCTATGTTTATACAATACAGATGATGCTAGCTCGATGATCGGGTTTCAGCTGCAGTTCTTCAGCTCAACAAAAAAACTTTCACCAAAAAACATACGAAAACATATAATTCAAACAAAAGAGGATGCCCGCCACCCCGTTGAACATTTTTGTATTAGTAACAGCCACACCAGCTTCTTATTCTGCCTGCAATGCTCTGTTTTCGGCATCTTCTCCCCATAGCAAACTGCATCAGCATGTTATCAACATTTGTTGTGAATGGGGTCAGATCCCCTTCCAACTTTTCTTTTGTTCGATTGATTCGCATCGAATGTCATCGCGGGTGCAGGTGCCAAACTCATCTTAGCTTCCATGTCCTCTACAGCAACAGCCTTAAAAAGATGCAAGCTTTTAAGAAACGGCAAGTGCCCCTTGTCCCATCTGAGAGCCAAGTCCCTGCTTCTTAAGGCGGAAACCTTTTCGGGTTGAAGAGCTAGAAACCCAATGCAAACAAGAAGAAGAAGAGCCCTTCTGTAAGCCAAAACCCCCATGCTTCTGCAGCTATCTGTGTTGGATAAGATAATGAGGAGTAGTGTTTGTTATGGTTTCAATCCCTGTGAGGAGAAGCCAAGGGAATGTCTTTTATGGGATTTGGAGGACTAAGGGCATAAAGCACAAAGTGAGGCCCCTCAGAAGAAGGGCAGGCAGAACATTTAGGGAATATTTAGATTCACCACAATCATAGGCAGCCTGCCTCAGAAGCAATATATAGGGCTGTTTTAGAAGACTCTGACAGGTTTGAATCACAAGTTAAGTTGGAACGCTGTCCTTGGGAAGCCAAGTATCTTTCTCTCTATCATTTGCCTTGCTCTTTTTTACCAAACCAAAGACCAGTTTTGTGCCTCTTGAATGCTTTTCCAACATGCCACCTCATCTACCCAATGCTTATGTGTAGAGTTCTTATGGGCTCCTCATCTCTTCAAAATCTTCAGTCGAGCCGCCTGATCACGTGGATGGTCACCAACATCACAAAAGAACGAAATTCTTTGTATTTTAGGAGAAAAATTTGGGTAGAGACACCTGATCACTTCATCTGTAAGACACCTCTCACAAAAGTATAGAATGGTTCCACCTGATCTACATTGATCCACGTGTGTCTAAATGCTTTAATAAAACAATCACATCGAAATTTCGATTGTATTTTGATCTCATCCAATAACAAATCCCACCCTGCCTAAAAATCTTAAACACACCTCACCAATGCAGCAGCCAGTTCCATATTTAGATAACTAATGCAGCAAAAAAACCCTTCAAAAGTAGAGATGTTGGAGTAATGGTAGGGACTAGAAATCCATCCACCAAAAAGCCAAAAACAAATAACCAAATAAACCAACCAATAGCAAAGCTTGATGCACCAACCACATGCTTTAAGCTAACAACTTGCTTTAGAATTCCAAGCTCTTCCCTCCATGCACCAAGAAATCCCAGTCTTGGTGTCTTGTGCTGAATGGAAGTCCTTTATGCTTTTTCTTTACCCTCTCTTTAAATCGCTTATCTATGAAAACCATCTTCATTTCCCGTTGCAGGCGTGGGTTAAGTCAGATAATCAAAGCAGTGTTCTCGATCCTTTGAAACCCGGTTTGAATTTCATTTTTTTTCGGAGATTTGAATAGTTAGGAATATCAGTTCGAACTGGAAATGGAAAGAACAATATTGAAAAGGAGTGTCCGTTCGAGTACAAAATCGATGAGGAGGTGGACTGGTCATGGTCCAAGCTGGACATGAGCTTTGAGAGCTGTATTAAAGTAAAAGAATTTGAATGGAACGTTTGCTTTCCACAATCATCCTTCACCATCACATTTTACTTTAACAACTACAACGGAAGATGACAGGGTTTTCTTGAACAATCACACTTCACGAAAGCAACGGTGTGTGAGGCATCTAAAAGCTTGAAATCCCAAATCATCATATTCCAACCAGATTGGCCTCGACCAGAGGCCTTCCTGCCTTGGTGCCGAGAGCCAAGTGAACTAGCCGTTGGCACAGTCGGGTTAAATAAGAACAGGATACCGATACACAACGCAAGTAAAGTTGATGTTTGGCCCAAAGAATGCATCCGAAGACAGTTGCAACTACAATCAGTAACACACCTCTTTCGACAGCAGTTTACCGTGCAGCATAACTGCTGCGGTGATAACAAAGATTATGTACAAAACACGGGAAATAGACAAGGAAGGAAAGTAGTGAGCTTGTACAGAGTATGTAAAATAATTCGATTACAGATACACGACAGTCAGAAAGCTAAAGCCTTCTGATTTTCCTCTTTAACGCTTGTTTATGCTACAGAAACAACACGCTCATATTTCCAGTTCCAGCATAATCCTCTTCACCGAAATACATAGAACATTGCCATGGTTGAAGAACACCAAATCATTGAATTGGCTCCTGATGCGGAGTCACTGCAGGTCCCGGAGCTATTGTGAACTGCAAGCCCCTGCGTTGCCCTGCCTGCAGCATAAATGCAACCTCAGTTGCCGCAAGTGCTGCTGCTTCCTGGATCAACAGTAACATATAAACAAATTAGCATGTAATTAAAAGAACATGTTTGCATTCACGACCAGAAAGCTTCTTTGTCCGGAGACATGATTCCTGCTTTCTTTTAGTGCAGTGGGAAGCATGCCAAAGCCCGTTCAAGCTTCGTTATGTAAACAATCTAAGAAACGATATCTCGTCTCACCAAGGATATATAAAAAGGTGATTATTCTTGGGTTTCTCAAAGACAGCAGAGGCCAGAACTTACCTGTCTTTGCCTTCGACGTTGTAATATGCTGATAGCCCAAGCCATAATGTAGCACGGGAGAAGAAAACCAGCAGCCCGGAGCAAGAAAAGCTGTTAACGTTTGATCATTTAGTTAGATAGTGCAACGATCTGGAATGATATAAGACACATTCAACATACTTATGCCACTTACAGAAAAAAAAGTGGATGCATCATCATCATCATCCCCGTCACCATTGGGGAGGGTCAATGCATGCCTCAATAGAAGAAGAGCCATTAACTGCCGAGAAACAAGAGAGGAGACCAATAGAAATTAAATTAAATTCTCTTATTCAACTGAGAGTAGAGCACGTGTCTAGGTTTAGAGTGTGAATGTGCATAGCAACAAGTTGCAGGGCCCAGAACAGAACCTGCAACTAGTTGCACTAGTTCAGAATGACCATAGAGAAAAGGTGCACTAAGAAAATATAAAAGTTAAAGATTAGGGATATTTTTTATAGCTGACAAAAGCATCAGCTAGGTTATCCCCATCGTCTGATAAGATCCACAAAATCAAATCAGAAAGAAAATGCGACAACAATATTTCATTCCAACATGGGCTACTATAAAGAACCACACATCATTAATGGTGACAACTATGGCTTACAATTAGAGCAACAGAACGGCAAAAGGCTGCTCCACTAGCATTTGTGTCAGAATACTCATCATATTCGGCCTCTAGAAAGTGACGTTCAGCCGCTGCCATTGCTAATAGTCGAGGATCACGCAAATCCAAAGGGGTACCAGAGATTGTCCAACCATCACTGTCAGGCGGATCCAAGAAGCAAAACAACAAATCAAAACAGATACGAAACTTATATAAAGCTATGTTGTATTGACCCTCAAGAAAATGGTAATGCAGAGAGACGGGCAAAACTAAAGTGCCCAAGATATAAAAACAAGCAAAGTCCTCATCACATCTAGCCAAATGCTAATTTGCAAAAACGAAAGATAAAACGGAATAAAGAACCCTTACTAACAACATGAACAAGGTTGCAAAGCATATGTAAGTTCTAAACTTGCCTGATGTCAATTGTGGTATCTTCAGACTGAGGAGGAGGTGGTGGGGCAGTATAATCAGGTTGGTATGACTACATCAGAGAAACTTTTCGTAAAAACCCACTCAATGACTTGCAACTCATGAATGGAAAAAATTCATAATAACCAATTGTAATGACCAAGAGGTTGCCCGCAAATGCTCACATGACTTTAATATATTACACGGATGCATCATCGTGGTTTATTGATAAAAACCAAATATCTTCTCATAATAAAACATTATATTTCATCCCTTCCAGAAAAGAAAAGGCAAGACTATTGACTAAGATAGCTTCAAACTAAGTGAAGTTGCTTACTTATATGAACATAAGCAACATCCCTGAAAAGTATTAATCTCGAATATAGAACTGAATGGTACAGATTCACTACTTAAAATCATAAAAAATGACAATTGCAGATGGTAAGGATTCTAGAAATTTACCTGATGACAAATTTCACAAATTATATCTCCCTTCTCATTGCACCATCGCTGGACACATTTCCTATGAGCGAACTGAACGGAGAAACGGAAGAAAGAAATCATTGGCATTGGTTATCAACATATAATATTAGTCTAAGAAGTCACTGAAGTTGGTTAACAAACATAAGATAATGAGCATGATTTGGACGTTAAAACAACTAGTTTGCAATAAAAACTTCATATAGAGCTAAGATCTCTCCATATGGTCAAACCATAAATAAAAGGGATCATCAAAACATTTAATGGTAGGACTTCATGCCACAAACTGATTTGGGCATATAGCCGACACTAACTGCGGTAGAAAAGAATTTCTGAACATCACTAACAACAATCCAATTTAAACACTCAAGAGTAACCTACTTCAAGAATTTCTCTATCATAAATCTTGACGCATTTAAGTATTTGGGGTCAATGAAATCAAGAAAGTGATTCCCCTCACCCATAGCCCCCCAAAAAAATCCAAAATTCTAGTTTAAAAAAAGGATATGTATCAATAAATCAACTTACTTTTAAGCTACCGCTGCAAGAACAGGGGACCTCCAAATTCTTAACGCTATCTTCTTCCTGGCAAATGCGACATTCAACCGTCTGAATCAGAGGCTCTTCTTCTTCAGCTATAGCCTTCTCCCCGACCCCCTTAACATCAATGGCACAAGTGGGTAGCTCAGCAGATTGGGAGCTTGAACCCTCTACAGAAGATCCCGGGGTCTCACTCCCTTGCAAGCTTTCAGTTTTTGTGAAGCGGTCAACACACAACACCAGGTGATCACCCATTCGCACTCAAATTAAAACTCCTGCATCCACAACACACAGAGAAACTTCAATCATTTCAATACAATCTCCTTAAGAATACAATAAGATCCACCACATTGAAAGTTAGGTATGTAGAAAATCACGATTATGGGTTCCATTGATCACAGAAAAAAAAATCCTGCATGTGAAGAAAAATTTAAGGAATCGGATCTTAAACCACCTTTACAACAAAAAGGCAGAAAACCAAACGTTAAAGCTTAAAACTTTCCCAAACTACCCTGCGTTCGAATGGTTTCAGCCGTTGGATGCTAAGAACATAGCATAAAAGGCCAAACAAAAAGCAAAGGAAATCAAAGAATCTAACATTGTATACTAATAAACCGATACAGCACGATCAGTGCTCCATTGGCCCCATATAATCTTCCAACTATAACCTAGGCAATAAGAAAGCCAAGAAAAAAGAATCACCTCCTTTCTCAGCCACCAAACAAAAAGCCCCCCACTTGCCGAATCCCTAACCCACCAAAATCCCCAAACTTCCCCAACCCAAAACACTAAATCGCCACTCGAATTTCACAAAACTCACCGATTCAATCCAATCGGCGATGCAAAAAAACCCAAAAAATCACAACCCAGATCGAAATGCAACAACTTTATGATCCCCAACACCGAAAAATACAAAATCTACAGAAAAAATACATTGTGAAAATTCAGAAAACGGAACTTATAAGAAATTTAAACAAATTGGGGGAAAAAGGAGAATCGAAATTCGAAAGCACCTCTGACAAGACCTGGAATTTGAGCTGTGGAAATGCTGAGAAATTCTGCTCTTGTGAAAAAGTCTCTGGCTTTTAACCTTTTCCTTTTCCACGAGGGACAAATTTAAAATTTAATTTAATTTAATTTCTAAGGCATCAGGTTTGGGTTCGAGGAGCCCGGGGACGGTAACGTCCATCCAAAGCAAGGGTACAATCCTCTGTGGGTTCGGTACCAAATGGAGGGTTTTAGGTAAATCGCTACCGTTGAGTTAGACAAGATTGTGACTTGGACGGTCCAGCTGTACTTCGTTCCTTCCCCTGCTGGCGGGTCCGCGGATTTAGCGGTTGTTTTAATAGTAAACGAATAGGACAATGCCTTGTCATGAAAGGAAATATAAACGAGTTTTTTTTTTTTTTTTGGGATAATTTTCTTTTTTAAATTCTTTTGTCAAACTTCTTTTTTAATCATAAATACAATTTTGTTAGGCATATTAATTTTAAAGGAAAACTAATGAAAATGGTATGAAAACTTTGAGTTTTAACGATTACAGTGAATAGTACCAAGATTGATTTTTTTGTGCAAAAATATGGTTTTTCGTTAAAGTAAATAGTATCAGCCATTTTTCGTTAAAGTTTTCTATTTTTAAACCCATATAGCAATTAATAATTTCCAACCAAAAATTAATAATTGTAATCATACATTTGTTGGGGAATTATTTTTTGCAATATTTTATACATTAACAATTTTAAAGTAAGAGAATTGTGGTGGAGTTAGTGCTTGTTTGGATGTACTTTTAAAATAGCTGAAAATGCTTTTAGGGAAAATGTTTTTGGGTTCCAAAAGCACTTTAAGTGCTTCCTGGAAGAAGCACCGGTTATTTGCTTCTTCCAAGAAGCACTTTAAGTTGTTTTCCACGATTTACTTGTATTTTTACTAAGGATTAGTTCCAAAAACATTTTCACTAAAAACACTTTCAATTATTTTTAAAGCACATCAAAACGAGCTCTTAAACTTTCATCATTGCTGACAGTCCTGTTGCGGGATTTGTAATTTTTTACATAAATTCATACAGTAACAGTTGATAATTAGATGACATGCATAAATTCTTTCAGCTCGAAATTGTGATATACCCTAAGGCTAGTGATGAGAATAACCAATCTTTTCTTAAACTTGTTACCAAAAAAAAAAAAAGAAAAAGAAAAAAGCATTCATCATTGTGCCTAAGTCTCGAATTAGGAATTCATCTTCTTTTTATTAAAAATGATACGGTAATTTTGAATTTTTCATGATGACTTGCGAAATTGAATATTTGAAATACAAGTGGAACCCCATTGATCGGTTCATGTACATATGAGTTGAAATTATGAACATATGAGTTTTTTTTTTTTTTTATTTATTATTTTTTTAAGAGATCAGCTAGCGGTTTTGTTAGGACAGTCCATTTTTTCAAATGTTAGAAAATTCACAGATGCATTTTAGTTTTTTCTGGACACTATCGTACGATTCATTAATGCCAGAAGTCAAACTCAAAACATGCTATGTGAAATACAGATTTAAAATATATTTTCAACTACTAGACCACCTCGTGGTGATTTATGAACATATGGGTTGAGTCTCGTAGAAACACCGAATAACGTCATAACTTGACTTTTTACCTTTGTTGAAAAAGTGAGCAAATTGTGTGAACCCTTAACTCATTTTTGTCATTTCCAATCCATGTGCCAATAAGATTTTTCTTTGGTCAAAACCAAGAATTCCAATGAAAGATATACCGGAATATTATTTAGAGAATTTTGACACGATATTATTTAGAGAGTTATGCACAAAAAATCTGGTTTGAAATTTTAAATAAAATGGAGTCACACTAAACAAACATTAAAAAAATATATATATCAAACAAGCCTTAGGTTTTTCTTGTTGATGATAGTGACAATAGTGATGATAACGATGATAATTGTTTGGACTCGTTTCAAACTACCTTAAAAAAAAAAAAACATTTTTGCTCATAAGTTTTCATTTCTCTTAGAAATGCTATTGTTACAAACAAGTCGAAATTTTTGGTACAAGTTCAAGTGCATCACTTGGAAGTGTTTCTTCATGAAACACCTCACATGTGCTTCTCCAAAATGATATGTGACTCTCTAAAAAGTAAGAGCTCATTTGGAAGTGTTTTTAAAATAACTGAAAGCGTTTTTTTTGAAAATGTTTTTATGCCAATCCTTAGCAACAATGCAAGTGAATCTTCAAAAATCACTTGAAATGCTTCATGAAAAAATCGCATAACTGATGCTTCTTGTACAATCAGTTTAACTGCTTTTAAAACTCAAAATCAGTTTTTTTTCTAAAAATGCTTTCGATTATTTAAAAGTATTTTCAAATAAGTCATAATTCTACGACCTAGAAGAACTCTTTAGCTCTACTCATGTTTTTATATGGAGTTACATGTAATGTGAATATTTTCAAATTTCGTGTGTGGATCATGATTTTTTCACAAAAGAAAAATACTAGAGTATTTATCAAATATAGCAAAAAATTAACCCTTAATTTCAAAAATGTCACTTTTTATAAAATATTTCAAATATATCTAAAATTACACATAAATAGACACAAATACCCTCAAATTTAACAATTAAATAAATTAAAGGCTTTTAAGCCAAAATGATTCGTAACATTGACATATCTCCTTAATATGGTCCTTAACAATTAATGATAATCAATAGTAGTATTCTTGAATTTGTCTATCATGAATCATTTTATTTTAGATATATTTGAAAGTTTTTATAAAAAATTACATTTTCGAAATTAATAATTATTTTTTGCTATATTTGATAAATACTACCGGTTACTTAACGGAAGATGGAATTTCTCATATATAAGCAACACAAAATCCTAGGGTTTTGGCTTGACACACAATCACAAAGATGCCAGAGAAACTCGCCGAAACCTCGGAAGCCGCCGCCGCCGCTGATGGCGCTAAACATATGGACGTAGAAACTTCAGAGCCTGCTGCGGCTCAAAATTGCGACGAGGCTGACGCCATTAATGGGGAGGCGGAGGCAAACTCGAAGCGGGTCAGGGACGAGGAGGGGAGTGAAGGAAACGATGCTAAGAAGACGAAGGTGGACAAGTCGCCGGAGGAAGAACGGTTGGAGGAGAAGTTAGGGGAAGGGGAGAAGTCGGGTCGGGTCGGCTTGGGTCCGAAGAGTTTTGGGTCGTCGGTGGAGATGTTCGACTACTTCTACAAATTCCTCCATTACTGGCCTACTGATCTCAATGTCAATAAGGTACCCAAAACAAAGCTATTTGATTATTCTTAATCTTTTCAGCACTAATTTTCTTTTGCTGAAAGTTAAAGATTGGAACTTTTTGGTAGTGTATAGCAATATAATCATATTATTTATTCAATTTGGTGTTTTGTAATCGAGATTAATTAGGATTTGGGAAATTTAGTTTTGGGTTGTTTGCTTTCCTTCGTTTGGATCATCAACTACCGCGGATTTGGGAATTACATAGTTTTATGAAATAAATTTTAGTTAGGATTCAGCTACATATGCTAATGCAGTATTACAAATAGGTTTTTGTTTTAATCAGTGATTTCGGAGTTGTTTTGTTTGATTTATTCAATCTGATTGCTAGAAAGATCGATGGGAGCGGAAGAAAATAAGAGTGCAAAAGTCACTTTGCTACGGAAAATATTGGTTTTGAGTTTAATGTTATGTTTCGAATTTGAGTAAGTATTATACATTCATGTGTTTGACGATATAGTTTGTGTGAATGTGAATTCTCTTAGAATTTGGTAAGAAGCTCGATGATGGTAGTTCTTTATTCAAAATTTCAAATTCACTGTCTTTTGCTACATGAAGCTAGAATCTGTTCACATCACTCTGGATATTAGTTCACAGAGTTGAATTATATTTACACAATGAGATCGGCTTTAGAATTTTCAACTAAAAAGTGATGAATTTTGTAAGTTCTGTGTAAAATGGCTGTGATTGTGGTTGGATGAAGTTTTTGATAGAAATTCTTGTTATGTTGCAGTATGAGCATCTGGTTTTGCTCGACTTGCTTAAGAAGGGTCATGCTGAACCCGATAAGAAGATTGGTGGAGGGGTCAAGGCATTCCAAGTTCGGACCCATCCGTTGTATAAAAGCAGGTGCTTCTTCCTCATTAGGGAAGATGAAGTTGTTGATGATTTTAGCTTCAGGAAGTGTGTGGATCAGATACTTCCCTTGCCTGAGAACATGAAAGCAAACGCTGATGCAAATAAAGCCTTAGGTGGTAAGGGCGGCAGGGGTGGTGGCAGTGGTGGAAGAGGAGGCTGGCGTGGTCATGGAAGGGGTAAGCCGAGAAGCTAAACTGAAATGTAAAGTTTTCTCCTTGCTGGCGGGCGTTTTACGTTTAGCAGAGGTTCAAAGTAGAAAATTTTTGGACCCGTTAAATTACCTCCTTTTTATTGCACTAAACAGTTGTATTATTTAAATTTTGATTCTTAATGGCTTCTTTCGCAGTTTCTATTGCGATTAATGTACTATGTTTGCATACTAATACAAAAAAAATTAGGATCTTAGCTGAAATCATCAACCTTGCTGTAAAAATACACACTTTCGAAAAATGGTGTTTTTGTTATGGTTTAGATGGTGATACCACATTTCTTTAGAATGCTCGGTTGAGTTCAAGGACTGTTGCCCCTAGACAATTCTTTCCATTAGAGCATTTCAATCGAGATATATATAAGTCACATTAGGCCATCACCAATCAATGGCATTTGGCCAATATTAGCCTAAATTGAACAACATATGTAATTTCCAACCAAAGGGCATGTTGATAAACTTTGTAGGTTCATACAGGTTTACCATCAATATCACTGTTATCGTCTCCATCTAATTACCTATCACTACGTGTGGTGTTTTATATAAAAAGCATCCATGATAATAGCGTTGGAATATCCTATATATAAGTTGGGTTGTATTTTGTCATATGGTGATGTGAGAATCTATTCTCCAACACGCTCCCTCACTAGTGACCACACAGTGTCATAAGTGAAACCAACTCTCATATTGGGAACTAGTCAAGTCATTAAACGAAAGCTAACACCAATCTTTCCGAAAGCCCAATTGATCGACCAATTGGAATTTAGTCTTTAGTTTGTCATTATTCAGCTTTTGCTGCCAATTTTCGAAGGCTCTGTCATTTAGTAGCTTCAATAGCCTTAAGTTGAGCTAGCGCATCTTTCGAAGGTCCAACTTCAAGAAGCGTGTCCAAGTCCAGTAAATCGGGCCCATGACATGTCAAAAGAATTAGTTTTAGGGCTAAAATTGTGACCAATCACTTTTCCCCATCTTTACATCTTTCTCATTGGAGAAAAACTAAAATATATATTTTTGAAAATGTAAAATATGATGTAAATGTGGCTTTTACATTCCAAATTTGTATACTTACACCTTAAAAAGTAAAAACAAGAAATGTAAAACACACATCTTTCAATATATTTTACATCTCCCATTAAAAATGCTTTTACAAATTAAGATCCTATATAGAATCTTTCTTTCACACATTGCTCAATCTTTACCACAGTGATAGAAATGTGTTGAGCCATTGCATTACGGCGTGTATTTAAATCCCGTCAATGGCTAATCTAACATCTAATCTAACAAAATTTATCGTTTGACAAAAAAAAAATTTAACCAAAATATTAATCAAGTACTCGGTAGTTGTTATTTTATAATTTTGATGAACCGGAAGAGAGAATTTGAATTCAAATATCTATCAATATTGGGAATAGAAATTACTCATTATCCATTTTTAACCACATAACTATCACCCCTACTCATTGCTACTATAAGACCATCTCCAGTCATGGAAGATTAAATGTAGCTATAGAGCATCTTCAATGGGTATGTCAAATTTTTCTATCAAATTCTTAATTGATGGCTAATGTGGCATTTTGAAGTATGATGTCAAATTTCTTTATATTCCAACCGGTATGTTACTTATTATTTTACTATCATATAGGGCCTACTTTAAAATAAAATAAACAAAAAAAAATCATTTTTAAAGCTTTATCTTGTAGTGGATTATGGGCCCCACAAATTTAAAAAAAATAAAGTAGAAATGAAGGCAGCGTTAAAATTGACACCTGAGGCCGGACTGCCATTCCAGGTCAGCTAAAAGATTGTTCAGTTGTAGCAATATTTGCTGTCAAAAGTGATTAGTTGGCATTCCATCTAAGATTTAGCATCTCCTTTGGAGATGGTCTTAGTTATGTTTTAGCCATTTTAAAATTATTACTTTAAAGACTATTGTAGGCTAAATTTTTCCATCTCCATTCATCTATGGCTATATTTATTCCCTTTCAAATTTTATTACTTTTTGGGTCAAATTTAGCTTGCCCTGGGACTACATGTTGCCTATCTTGAAGCCAAACTTAGCATGATTGGTGTTACTTAGTACTAGGGTATAATGATATTCATTTTCACTTTGTAAGTGAGAAGTCTTAGGTTCGATTCTCACCAAAGGTGAATTTGAACCATCTTATTACTTGCCCATTGTGAAGCTAAACCCATTTGACACACCCCGACCCAGAATGTCCACCTGGACTCCAAATTGAGTTGTGTTGGCCGACACCAGGAAGGTGAAGAAGCCATAAAGTGTAGTACATGTGGAAAATGTGAATAAATTTAAACATAAAAGTGTCTAAATATAATAGTGTGCACGTGAGCGAGAATGAACCTATTTCACACGTAATATTAGAGCATAGGTAAAGTACAGTAAAAGTAGAATGAGAATTATATCATCGAAGGTAATCTCCAATACCAAAATTTGCCAAGAATCCTTGTCGATACAAAAGCTCTGCTACTAAAACTTGGAGGGATGAAAAATGAGGGTGAGTAGGCCTAAAAATAAAGCTTTATAAAAACCTTTTCAAAAATATAATAACCCCTCGCCGTAAAATAAGTATAGTTTCCAGATATAACATACTACGTATAGTGTGAAAGTACTTACAGTAGCCAGCAAAACCTCACAAATGCAATACTTCAATATAATTTGAAATTAAGTATATAACTTCCAGTAATCAAAATATCTTGCAGAAATATAGATGTCATAACAAGTGCTCATAGACATATGCTGACACACGAGTTCATGCAGAGACATTCTAACAAGAACAGGACTAGGTGTAATAATGATTTACGCTTTAGTACTATAATCATGTGAAGACTGGCGCTATGCGCATCACATTCGAGTCCTAATTTCTGATAGCAATCTAGGACAAGATTGACACCTACAATGGATCCAAAATGAGCATACGGTGCGATGTGAACATACACATAAAACTTGATCTTGGCATGTCGAGTACAAACACCAGTGTAGTACACGATGAGTAGATAACGTAAATATAGTCATAACTTATTGATTCAAGAAATCTAGTCAACAACATATTATCCAAATAAAATATTGATCATGGTCGTATATAAAATCCTCTTGTAGTACGCATACATGTGCATCTCGTAAGATTTAGCATACTTTCGTAAATTCCGTTGTTCCGCTAAGTCTTATAAACCTTAATCTAATCTAGGTATACGTAGTAAATTCTTTGTTAAATAAATATGTGGAAACCAAATAAATATATAGTATTTAAAAGTCAAGACCCACTCACTAATACTTGCAAGATCGCAGTCACTCGAACTAGGAAAATCGGAGTCTCTGATAGTAATCGCACCTAAGCATAATATTGGGTTTCGTCAATAAAACTCAACTAAGACGATTAAATTTAGGAAAACAGAGCGCGAATTTAGAATCAGAGCATCGAAATATGCTAAGAGGGGTCATGGGCAAATTTTTGTAAAAAGTCAACAAAAAAGTCAACGATCAACTCTAATAAGTCAACCGAGACGCCCCGGTGGTCAGTTATGTTAAAACTTCAAAATTTCACTAAATGGATGTCAAAAATAGACTCGAGACGTCGAAATTAACCTAGGAGGGTTTCTGAGAAAATTTCGTAAAAGTCAACTCTAGGAATATTCCAGATCCCAGGTTCGGAACTGGATTTGGATTTGGGTTTCTGAATCTTTTTTTTTTTTCTTCTTCTTCAGCCAATTGCCAGCTCTCACCAACAAAAAAACTTCACTAAACCTAGCCTTCCAATATATCAAATCGAAGTTCAGAGAACAAAGAATCGGAATATACCATTGGTTTCCTCAGCCGTGGCCAGATTTAGCCGGAAAACAGCTCGAAAGTCGTCGGATCTTTTGCCAAAAAACTGGGAAAGTTGCCCCAAGGTATTTCTACATCAAAATGCCGCCAAAACATGTGTATAATGAGTCCATCACCATTAAAATGAAACAAGGAAGGCAGATTGAGTGTCCAAACCCTCACCTTGGTCGGAAAATCTGAGAACTCACCAGAGTTCTCCATTTCTTGTTTCTTCGATTTGAGTGCGAGTTCGAAGGTCGTATAAGTTTCTGGGCTCGAGAAGAAAGATGGGACGAGGTAGGGGTGATGGTGGAGAGGCTCACCGGAGAAGAGTGGCGATGGTGGAGTTCGCTGTTGCACCATCTCGGTGCTTGCCGAAGAAGAAGGGAGAGAGATGAAAGAGAGTTTGAGTGTGGTGTGGGCCCCACAACTAGAAATATTAGTAAAATAATTAAAAATATCCAATAAGAAAATATTAAAATAATATATTTCAATAATATAGTAATATAGAATAATTAAATAGTAATTTCTTCAGAAATAATCTTTCGAATTCGTATAAAATTTTAACTGTAACTCTGATTTCGATTCAGCTTGCGCCTATGCGTCGAGTACTTCGAGAATACAGTAATGGTAGTTCGTACACGTCGCGAAAGGACGGTCAACGAAAGTCAACAATCTCGCCTCTAGGGGCATTTTTGTCAATTCACACTTTTAAAATTAATAAAATCGTAAAATTAAGGACGGGTTGTTACACCACACATCTCCACTTTAGTTTAGATAATATTGTTTGTTTAAAAAAAAAGGAAAAAAAAAGAACTTAGCCTGATTCTTTTAGCCATTTGGTTTGAGAATGGTTTTGTCAAATTTAAAGCTATATATAGCCTATGACCCATGATTGGAGATGGCCTAACTCTTCTAAGTTCTAATTGGCCTCCACTCATATGCAATAATCAGAAAAATGATAAGGTCACTTAATACTCTGGTCTAGTGGTATTCCTCTTTACTTTTACCTGAGAGGTCTCAGATTCGATTCTTGTAAATGCGAGTTTGAACCATATTATTGTTAGCCCATTGTGAGGTTAAGCCCACCCCTCTCCTTAAGGTAGATAATATCGTTTGTTAATCAAACTATTCCTAACTGATGACAAAAAATAAATTCTACACGATATAGTATCTCTCCCTCTCTTCCCACTAATCATAACTTCATAAGTTCCCTTCTATCCTAATAAATTTAATGAATAAGCCATTAATTTGTACATGATTATTGCTACGTTACATGCATCCATATTAAAACCCAATCCACAATGTAGTGTAATTAATCTAAGCAAAGTTATTTTTCACAATTTGAAAAATGAACAAAAAAACCACAAAAAATTATAGAGCATAATCTTATTTTTCAAAATTAAAATGGATATGGTGAATCAATTTAATGTCATATAATATTCGTTCACGAAGAAAAATAATATGAGACTTCTATAAGAACTTTGTTGGAAATTTCAACCTGTATATACACAATACTTTTATTTATTTATTATTGTGCTTATATATCCCGCAACTTGTACAAATGAAAGGGTGATGATCCAGAAAATCATTAGGATTTTGAAAAATAATTTGATCCAAATGACGAAAGAGAGACGTAATAATTCCAAAAGGTGAACAAACGTGACTGGAAATGATAATCATAAACATATAGATACGGCTACTACTGCCCAGATTATGGTTCCAAGATTACTAATACTCCAAGTAAATATGTAGGTGGCTTCTGCAAAAGTAAAATCGATGACACGTGGCAATCATGCAGCACACTTCTAAGTCCTTAAGTAATTATATTGCAGCCAAACAAATTACAAAGAAAAGAATGATTTCAGTTGAGTAGAGTACGGTTAATTAGCAAAATCAAGAAAGAAATTAAGAGAAAAAGGAAGAATAATCAAATTAATTAACTGGTGTGGTGGTGGGAGGCGTGGCGGCGCACGTTCATGTAGGCTAATGATCATTACGAAGCCCTCCTAATAATCAATTAAAACAAATAATTATGTGTTTAGGAGGAGATAATATCCTCCATTAATACAACTTGTAACTCTCACTAGGTATAATAATTAGGCACGCACAGTGAACAATGAATGAATAACACTCCTAAACACTCCATATTCATGCATGGGATTTTTATCCATGCGATATATATACCCACTACTCGTCTCTTCCCCTTCTTCCTCCTCCTGTACATTCTCTCTCTCTCTCTCTCTCATCAAATGGGTTGGCTGGCCAAGTACGACGTCGTCAAGGATCTTGGTGAAGACCCATTTTTCTTCCCACATCAACCTGCATTTCCCTCTGTACATGATTTCCGGTGTGTGAATATTATATATGGACGTTTGCATACACACACACACACATATTTCATCGTGTTATACTTTTAAAGTGTTTTTTTTTTTTTTTTTTAATTTCTTGTGGATGTCAAATTATATTAGGGGGTATGCATGCGATTGGCAATTTGATTTGCCAATAGTACAAGATCATAGATTTCCTGATCCTCTTCCTTCACTCGAGAGCTGTGTGAATATTGATCCCATTTACTTCTCTCTTGACATTCCACCAATCCGAACTGTATTGCAAGGTGTGTTTCAGTATTATGGTTAGTACTTTTGACATCTTTGATGTACAGTTGAAGTTAATCTAATGAATAAAAAATTAAGCAGATGATGAAATTTTCTACGGAAATGGAAACGCGTTGTTTGGAGTTAATTCTAATGATTTCTGTGGTGGGTTAACTGAGATTAATCACAATCATCATCCGCAATTTCAACAACAGCAGCAACCTCCATTGCTTCTGACTTGCAAGAACGATGAAAATGGCATTACGGACATGAACGATTCCCTGGAAGAGAGGGATAAGGCGATTAGTGAGAGGCCACACTCTTCTAAAAGACATAGATCATCAAGCTCTTCCCTCTCTTCCTCCAAAATGTTGTCAAGACAGACCATTTCCCAGTACTTCTACATGCCAATCACTCAGGCTGCCAAGGAACTCAACGTAGGGCTAACTCTTCTGAAGAAAAGGTGTCGAGAGTTGGGCATTCGTCGTTGGCCTCATCGGAAGTTGACCAGCCTTCAAACCCTAATCCGAAACATTCAGGTTAATAGGCGTTACATATTTGTACGTGTTCGTGTCTGATTCGAAAAAAATGAATGTGTACCGATTATATCGTTTTTATGCATGCAGGAGTTAGGAAAGGAAGGAGAGGAGGGCGAAGAGAAGCTTCGAAACGCGATCGCGTTGCTGGAGATGGAGAGGAAGCTGCTGGAGGAAGCGCCTGATATGCAGCTTGAGGACAATACGAAGCGTCTAAGGCAGGCATGCTTCAAAGCAAATTACAAGAAGAGGAAGATCATGGGGACGAAGGTTATGGAAAAATCACAATCATCTTTTAGTTGCAGCAACATTCAGTATCCAACAAGTTCGATGGATGCTAACGAGGAAGACGAAGAAATCAAGTCTCTATTGTCTGACTCTTTTTCCTCGAATAACAATGCATGCATCACTCTATTTTAAATTTTAATCAGTTGGATTTTCTTTTTTAATTTTAATTTATTTTTCATGTTTTTGTTTTTAATTTTCCTCATTAGACTTCATGTTTTTCAATTTTAATTTTAGTGATATATTATGAGGGTTTAACTTCATGAGCAATGGGGCTCTGAATTGAATACAGTTGGTCCAAATCCAAATTTATGTTATATTCTGTTTTAATACTTAATTTTCACAAAAAGAAAAATTCCACTTTGGCACAAGTTATTTAATTTTGAATTTTTCCTCAATAAATTGAATGTGATAATGGCATTTTTACATCATGATATACGAAAATTCTAATTACATTTTTACCATAAAATGTAAATACATGTGTGCATCTCACAATAAAATCCACAAGCATCAACGATTAGAAATTAGTTATACAAGTTACTTTCAACTTTCTACCGATGTGGTTCTATTCAAGAGAAAAAATTTGCATGGGGTAGCTCTCTCGGAAGGGTAATAATAACGTGGGCAAGATGTTATTAACATCCAAGTAATCTCATGCTTTTGCAAAGTTAGTCGAACATGACATATGGTCAAGTGATTAGGCGAAATATCCTCTCATTCGTGATACAAACACTTGTACTTGGCACTTTGTATTGTGTTTGAAAGAATAATTTGAAGTGTCTCAAGCTCATAGAAGCACTTTTTGAAGGAAAATTTTTTCTTGAGGAAGCATTTTCAAGAATTTGGCAAAAGCTTTTCAATAAAATGTTTAACTTGTTTATAATAAAAGTTTAATGTGTTTCTAATGAAAACATTTAGCTCTAGCCGGAAGTATATGCCCAGATCGAGGAGCTCTTCCTTCGCACTGCAGCGAATAAAAATGCTTACGAGTAAAGTGTTTTCTATGTGTCAAATTCCAAACAACCCTCATTCTCTTTGAAAATTGACACTGAACTTAAAAAAAGTTGACATCTTTGCTAGAAAAAGCGAGAGAGTGAAAAATGACAGCACTCTCAGTCCCAACCAAAGCTCAAATCTCGTACCACCAACTATTTCAAACCTCTTCGTCAACCCGTTTACTGTCCCTCATCAAATCATGCACCACCAAATCCCACCTCCGCCAAGTCCACGCCCACATCCTCCGAACATCGCTTGTTCTGGAACAGGAACCCACCATTTCCTTCCGGTTCTTGTCCCTCGCCGTCGCTCTTTCCCCATCAAAAAGCATCACATATTCCCGCTAATTCTTCGACCAAATACCAAAGCCGACGGCTTTTCACTACAACAAAATGATAAGAGCTTACTCCAAGAGCGACTTGCCGGCGGAGGGATTTTATCTGTTCAGATATTTGCGGTGGCGCGGCCTTTTCGCTGACTCTATGGCGTCGTCTTTCGTCATCAAGTCTTGCATTAGAGTTTCGTCGTTGGTGGGTGGGATTTAGCTGCATGCTAGGATTTTGAGAGATGGGCATCGATCAGATAGTCTTTTGCTCACCGCATTGATGGGCTTGAATTCGACTTGTGGTAAGTATGATTAAGCGTGTAAAGTGTTTGATAAATGCTGAAGAAAGATACTGTGGCTTTGGGTTTATTTGAGATTATGCAGAGTGAGGTTCATATGTGTGAGCCTGATGACGTTACGTGTTTACTTGTGCTCCAAGCTTGTGCCAGCTTGAACGCGTTGGAGTTTGGCGAACGGGTTCATAAGTACATCGAAGAACATGGTTATGGTGGTGCTTCAAATTTGTACAACTCTCTTGTATCGATGTATTCACGGTGTGGCAGTTTGGATAAGGCGTATGGGGTGTTTAAGGGAATGCGATATAAGAATGTGGTTTTGTGGAGTGCGATGATTTCTGGGTTGGCGGTGAATGGTTATGGTAGAGAAGCTATTGAAGCGTTTGGAGAGATGCAGAAAATGGGTGTTTTACCTGATGATCAGACTTTTACTGGGGTTCTTTGTGTTAGAATTCCTCTGTCCCACATCGGCCAGAAGGCTTGAGAACAAGCAATTTATATAGAATTACCCCACTCTAATTAACACCGAGATATTTTATGATAAAACCCCACACCTAATGGATTGAGCAGGTGGCCAAGTGGGGACAGTATCGGTGTTGTTGGGGTGGGCCCATGGTTCGTCTACCTGAAATTTAAGACTTTGTGCTTGCAGCCATTGCGGTTTGGTTGATGAAGGGATGATGATTTTCGATCGTATGAGCAAAGAGTTTGGGGTAGTGCCTAATATCCATCACTATGGGTGCATAGTTGATCTTTTGGGTCGTACTGGTCGACTTGATCAGGCCTATCAGCTTCTAAAATCGATGAATATCAAACCAGATCCGACATTATGGAGGACCTTACTCAGGGCTTGCAGAATTCACGGCAATAATTCCCTTGCGGAACGAGTGGTAGGCCATTTGATTGAACTCAAGCCTCAAGAGGCAGGGGATTATGTCCTGTTGATGAATATTTTCTCTTCAGCTGGAACCTGGGAGAAGCTAACAGAATTGAGGAAGTTTATGAAGGAAAAAGCAATTCAAACTACGCTGGGATGTAGCACGATTGAACTAAAGGAGTAGCACACGAGTTTGTTGTGGATGATGTTTCACATCCTTTGACGGATGAAATCTACAAAATGCTGGATGAGATTAATAGCCAGTTGAAGATTGCTGGTTACGTTGCAGATGTAACATCTGAATTGCACAACTTGGGAGCAGAAGACAAGGGGCTCGTCCCCTCTTACCACAGCGAGAAATGGGCTATTGCTTTCGGTGTCCAGTCAACTACTCCCGGCACGCCAATCAGAGTGGCCAAGAATCTTCGCATTTGTGTTGATTGCCACAATTTCGCAATGGCTCTCTCAGGGGTTTACAACAGAGAGGTAATTATCAGAGACCGCGCCCGGTTTCATCATTTCCGAGAGGGACGCCGCTCCTGCAATGCCTATTGGTAGGAAAACTGAAGATTTACAGAAGATGAGCATTTGGGAACAATTTTCTGCATTTGTGAACAATTTTCTACTGATTCAAATATCGAACATAAGAAAGCATGTAGAAGAGGAAAACAAGCAATGCAATTGAAAAGTATGAATTCGCATTCTTCGAATTTATTTTCGCATCAGAAGCTAGCCCTTGCATACACGCAAGATAGAAATACATGATATTTCCTAAAAACTCATGATCGACCAGCCAAGTTATTTCAAAACTGTCACTACAAGTTTCGGCCCGCAAGAGAAGGCTTATATTCCTCAATCTACAACAATAGAAGCAACTCTATATTTCTTCCGAAAATAGCTTCAACATAGAACACTGAAAGGATACCGACTTCATTCTACAAAACTGAAAGTACTGATGCATTGCTAAATCTGCTCAAAAATATCTGTAAAGCATTCATTAGAATGAGGTAATAGAAGCTTCCGATAATAGTGACCTAAGCAGTCACGGTCTGCTTGTTGGCAAAAGCAATACCCTTTTCAATGCTGGCTTTCAGTTCCGGCTTGAGTGCTTCCAAAGCTTTTTGCTCATATTCTGTCAAGCCTTGGAGGTCAGACGGTATGAAAGCTTCAATTCCGTTCCTTCCAAGCTTAACCCTTGATGCAAAGAATGGAAGCTCAGTCAGATCAGACGCTACATAAGAGCACTCATAGACATCCCCATCTCCGTCCAGTGCACGCAGAGATGACTCAACAAATCTGGCTGCTGCATATGCCATTGACAATGTCGCGGACCCAGCACCTGCCTTTGCCTCTACAACCTCGGTTCCAGCATTTTGTATCCTAACAGTTAGCTGTTCAACTTCTTCGTCAGTGAGGCTAACAGAGGGTTTTGTCTTGGATAGCAGGGGCAGAATAGTTATCCCAGCATGTCCTCCGACAACTGGGACATCAACATCAATCAGTTTCAGATTCTTCTTCTGAGCAACAAATGTGTTCGCCCTCACAACATCCAAGGTAGAAACACCAAAGAGCTTTTTTGGGTTATAAACACCCTTCTGCTTCAGAACTTCAGCAGCAATTGGCACCGTGGAGTTCACCGGATTACTGATAATATGAATGAATGCATCAGGGCAGTTATCTGCCACAGCCTCGATCAAGTTCTTCACAATGCCGGCATTAATGTTGAAGAGGTCATCGCGGGTCATACCAGGCTTTCTTGGAACTCCGGCAGGAATGACCACCACATCCACACCTTTCAAGGAATTGGGCAACTCGGCAGCTCCGGTGAAATCAATAACTTCAGAAGGAGTGTTGCAGTGACTCAAGTCAGCAGCAACACCCTTGACATTAGCAATATCGTAAAGATGCAGGGAGGAGACCAAAGGCGACATCTTGATAAGAAGAGCCAGTGGCTGACCGATCCCACCGGCAGCTCCAAGAACAGTTACTTTATATGAGGCCTGGGGCTGGAACTGAGACTGAACCACCTGCGCTTCCTTGTAGGCTTTTCGAGCGAAAGAAGCTCGAAGAGCCGGCGCGGTTTCTTTGCCGGAGAACGAGGTCTCGGCTTCACAATTGAAAGATGGGGTTGCCCTGAGCCCATTGAAAGAGCTCTTGAGAGGGTTTTGGGAGTTGAACCTCAAAGCACAAGGCTTTGACTGCTGAAACGCCGCCGCTTTGTGGCCGAGGGAACAATTGGTTCCGACGGAAAAGGTAGCTGCTGCCATCTCTCACGCTCTGTAGCACACAGAAATCCAAATCGAACTCAAAAACTCGAATTCAAAACACATAAAAAGCATAAAAATTTGACATCTGAATTCCGTTGAACTGCAACCCAATTCACCAAATGAAAAAATAAATTATGGGTTATGTCTAAAACAATAAAATAAAATAAAAGATTTCAATCCATTGTTCCAATTCAGAAGCAAAAGAAGTGAAGAACTACACAGCTGGGAAAACTCGAAAAAAAACCCATTAGATCTGAAACTATTGCTCGTAGATCCTTGGGTGTACGAAATAAACAAAAAAAATAAAAAATAAATCTTCAGAAATAGAGCTGAAAAGTTCATACCTTGAGGAAGATGAACGCCAAGTCCAACGACCAGAGAGCTACGGAGACGTGAAATGGCAAAAGGAGGGATTTAGAGAGAGAATATAAGAGGAGCGAGAGAGAGAGAGAGAGAGAGAGAGTGGGTTTTTGGACCCTTTGGGGGTTTTGGCTTATTGAATTCGTGAGAATCTCCGCCAATGGGCCTCGGATGAATCCACGTTCCAAACACTTTATTTCAATTTTTTATGTGTGTTTGACCGTACAGTGGGCCAGTGCACATCGAATCTCCCCTATTTTGTTCGCTTCATCCAGCCGTTAATCTCTGATTCCTTCCAACGGATGCGATTATTAGAATAAAATGGGAAATACTCAACCAAGTATGTACGGAAATGGAGGAATAAACAACTCTTAGAAGACAACTTCACAATACCGCAATCTCCCAAACTATCATGTTTAAGGCTGCAAATGATGGTGTGATGCCTCTAAGTGTGTATGTTCTAATGTTCCTAAGATGCAAGTGTCTCTGGCTTGGCATTCACCTAAAGGTGCAAGAGGAGTTCTTAGAGACAACATCGATGATTGGCTTGGAGGGTTCTCTATCAACTTGGGCAAAGCTTATGTAGTTGATGTTAAATTTTGGGGGGCTATATTTTGGATTGAATGCAGTTGACAAAAGTATTTCAAGATTATGTGTGGAGATGGATTCTGCTATTGTGGTTAATTTAATCATTAATATGACCGATACCAGCTTTCATCTTCTTGCCAACATCATTGATCAGTGTAGACAACTTATGACACATATAGCTGAATGCAAGTTAGTGCATATTTATCGAGAAAAGAACATGGTGACAGATGATATTGTCGATTGGAACTATAATATAGATCTTGGATACCATTATTTTGAGAATCCTCCTGATTGAATTGGAACTCGATTATTTGATGATATGATGGGAATCTCTAGGACATGAATTATATGTAATAACTCTTTGAGCTAGTTTTTGGGGTGATCCACCCCCTTATTTTACTTTAGAGAAAAAAAAAAAAAAAAGAGCTCTTTGTTATAAGAGGAAGGATCAGTTATACTCGAAAACGTCACTTTGGCAATAACTCAAATCATTAACATTTTTTTTTAACAAATGATATAATCTACACTAAGGGGAAGAGGGTGGTCTTAGCCTCACAATGGGCTAGCAATAATGTGATTCAAACTCGCCTCTGACGAGAATCGAACCTAAGACTCTCACTCATAAGTGAAGAGGAATACCACTAGAATGTAGTACTAAGTGGCATCATTAACATATTTCTACATGTAAAACGCTCAACACATGACAATGTATTATTAATTTGAGATACTGTCACTGTGATATTTTAAAGGAAAATTTCCGCAACAACCCTAAAACAAGGGCAGACCTGGAAATTTATATAGGCTAAATCTCAATAGTAATTTCTAATTTTTCCAAGAATTGCACTAGGCTATAGCCCATGGGAGCCTAGCTCCGCCCTTGCCCTAGAACTCATGACCTCCTTCCGGTTGGCTTGGTCATTTCATAATTTTGTTATAGACATGCCGAATTAGCACGTTTTAAAATACTAGACGGGCTCATAACTAAATTGAAAGTTCAAAGGGTAAATCAGAATAAGGCCTTTTAAGTTAACACTGATATTGTACCTTATTACACAAATATGGAATTCCCACTCAAATATGTTGGATTCAAAGAGTTTATTCCTCATTACACAAGGAAAAAAAAAAAGTACAAAAAATAACATAAAATTACACAACCAACAAGGCTTCCTCCTTTCATACATTAATTTTCTCCATCTCCCTCCTAAGTGCATTAGCCCTAACCAAGCTCCCAATGGTATTCACAGCCAACTTCAAATCCTCCCACGGATTCCCCGGCACCACCCTCTTGTACAAGTAGCTATCGAACGTCATCTTCTGCACGTACTCATCCGCACACATCTCCACGAACGCTTCCCTCGCGGGGTTCGACCTATAGAACACCTTCTGCAACACATCCAACACCTTGTAAGTAGGCCAATAGGTCTTGTCCCACTTCTCCAAGTACGTCCTCAAGTCCGCCTCATTCACCATCCTCTTCCCATTCTCCGACCCCTCAACTATTGCCTCGGCACACATCCTGCCACTCTTTGCCGCAAAGTAGATGCCTTCACCAGAACACTTTGTTACGTACCCGGCTGCATCACCAACGAGTGCTACTCTGCCTGCCAACCTTCGTGGCCGGGGGTGTTCTGGAATTGGATGTGCCTCCACCCGGAGAATTTTGCCGCCTAGAATCTTGTCATTGGCTCTGTTTCTTGTTGCTAGTTGGAATTTCTTGATGTCTCCTTTGTGAGTCACAGTGCCGGTACCAACTGCTACATGGTCACATTTCGGGAACACCCACCCGTAAAAGTCTGGCGAGACATCATCGCCGACATACATCTCAGCGAGGTTTTCATAGTACACCATCTTGTCATCGGGGATTTTGATTCTCTCCTGAAAAGGCCGAAACCAAGAATTTAATAAGAACGAACCAAACATTGAACCAAATCAACATCTAATGTTACTCCATAAACTTTGAATTTGGTAATCATATAACAACATACACAAGAGCACGGTCATAAAATTCGAGAAAATTTCAGGTTTTAAAGCGGTTCGCGTGTTATTAGCACAAAATTTTCTATGGTAGCCACATTTTCACGACTGATGACCAATGCATACCTGAAAATTATATCTCGATTTCGAGTAATTCATTGATAATTCTCTTACTGTTCATCAAAATTACTGACATAATGTTAATTAACAACTTCAAATCACATGCACTGAGCCTAGTCCATTGACAAAACACCAAATTCTGCAAATTGATCGAGATTTCAAACACAAAGCACAGCAATTGACTGCAAATAATTAAGTAGCAATTTTCAACGTAGATGTGAGTTAGATCAGTTTGTCAGGCCCATTGCACTAGTTTTAGTTCCCCTTCAACCGAATTCGAGATTAGAGTAGTTTAGAATATTGCAATTTCCTAAAAAGAGAAAAAACAAAGCAAGTACATAATTAATTACCTGGAAGGCAATAGCATACTCATAATCACCAGCATCAATGCTCTTGGCCACTCTGGAATTTGCCCCATCAGCTCCAATCACCGCATCAACCTCCATCGTCTTCTTCACGCCGGCGCCGCCGGCCTTCCCGTCGTACTCTGTGTAATGCAGGACGTACGGCGCCTCCCCATCTCCCGGCTTATCCATCTTCAAAAACAACCCATTTATCACCGTCGCGCCGTTCTCACTCGCCCTGTTCCTCAGGTACTGGTCCAGCACCTCCCGCCTCACCATCCCAATGTACTCGTGTGGCTTCAGGGTCTGCCCGATGTCCACCGCCACGTTCGATGGCGATATCATCTTCATCTTTGTGACGCGGCGGTCAATGATGTCCAGCGGGAGGTCGAACTCGCCCACCATGCAGAGCGGGATGGCCCCGCCGCAGGGCTTGCAGTTGTCCATCTTCCGCTCGATGAGGAACGTCTCGACGCCGCCCTTGGCTAGAGTTTCTGCGGCCGCGCCGCCGGCGGGTCCGCCTCCTATGACGGCGACGCGGAGGTTTCGACCGGTGACTTTTGGGCTGGTCTTGGCGGCTTTGACTTGGAGGGTTCGGTGGTTTGAGGGTTTCGGAGAAACGGGTTTTGCTTGCATTGTGAAATTGGTTTTCTCCGCGGCGGTTTGGCGGAGGCCGATGAAGGATTTCAGGGCGATGGAGGCCATTTTCTTGGTCGGAGCAGCTGAAGCAGAGGAGGTGGAGAGGAGGGTGAGAGTGGCAAGAGCGTGATTTAATTTCTTATTTTTATGTATTTGGGGGATATGGTTTGGGATATGAGTGGGGCAAGTGGCCGTTGGATTGGGAAAATGGAGGGCTGAGATTTTTTGTGGATAATGAGTTGGATTTTTTGGATTTTGACTGATTTAGGGAGGGGGAGGTTTGGCTTGAATTTTGTTTTGGGTTTGGAAATGGGAGGGGATGACATAATGCCACGTTGTCTGTTTTTGTAGAGGATTTGTCTGGTTGTGTAGATTCTGGATTGCCACGTCAGTAAACTGGGACCTCTATGTGTGGCACTGATTTTTCGGTGCAATAAATATTACATAGTTTTTATTTTTATTTTTCCAGCGATTACTAGCGACGTGTACATCTGAAGCTCTCTAAAAAGTCAAGTCACCATTGTCATTAAGTTTTAATAGATACTTGATGTTAGATCCCACATCGTCTAGGGAAATGATCCTTATATGTATATTCTCATCCCTACCTAGCACGAGGTCTTTTGGGAGCTCACTGACTTCGGGTTCTATGGGAACTCCGAAGTTAAGCGAGTAGCGCGCGAGAGCACTCTCATGATGGGTGATCCACTGAGAAGTTCTCGTGTGAGTTCCCAAAAACAAAACCGTGAGAGCGTAGTTGGGGCCCAAAGCGGACAATATCGTATTACGGTGGTAGAGCAAGCCCAGGATGTGGTGGGGACCCCGAGATGTTACACTTGACCCAAAAATGAAAGAAATGATGGCGTCATCATAAAGAAATTAGCATGTCAATTCAAATCATCATCAATAATCACGTTATATGATTTAAATAAATAATCTCTCTAACATTATTTTTTTTTCGCAAAATATGTTTTCAACTTCTCGAAAGTGACTTGGAAAATATCTTCTTTAAATTGTTCCTCTAGAGGCTAAAGCATCTAAGTAGGATCATAATACTAATTAGACATGCCGTTATGTTTAATTTTTTGGTTTTGAAACAAACGATATTATTTATATTAAGAGATAGGAGGTTGGCTTAAGCTCACAACATGTTAGTAATAATGTGGTTCAATTTCGCCTTTGAGAAGAATTGAACTTAAAATCTCTCACTTACAAATAAAGAACCACTACAAGATGGTTTAGTGGTTAAGAACGAATTTTAAGTTCGTGTGCCACTCGGTACGTTCTAAGTTCGACTAATGCAGTTGGTGAATCATATGATGGTGGTAGACATGTCAGACATCTTTTACATGCAACCAATGGTGGATTGCCACGCCAGTAAACTGGGACCTCTATGTTTGGCACTGATTTTTCGGTGCAATAAATATTACATAGCTTTTTTTTTTTTTTTTTTTTTTTGGAGAATAAATATTACATAGTTGGATGGGCACTACCGATGTATGACTGACCAGCGATTACTAGCAATGTGTACATCTGAAGCTCTATAAAAAGTCAAGTCACCATTGTCATTAAGTTTTAATAGATTTTTTACCCAAAAATGATAGTGTCATCATAAAGAAATTAACATGTCAATTCAAATAATCAATAATCACGTTATATGATTTATAAAATATAATTGAAATAAATGGTCTCTCTAACATTATTTTTTCGCAAAATATGTTTTCAACTTCTCGAAAGTGACTTGGCAAATATCTTCTTTAAATTGTTCCTCTAAAGGCTAAAGCATCTAAGTAGGATCATAATACTAATTAGACGTGTCGTTATGTTTTTTTTTTTTTTGGAACAAACGATATTATTTATATTAAGAGATATGACGTGGGCTTAAGCTCACAACATGCTAGTAATAATGTGGTTCAAATTTGTTTTTAAGGAGAATTGAACCTAAAATTTCTCACTTATAAATGAAGATGAATACTACTAGATGTGCCATTTGTTGTGTTCCTTTCAAGTGCAAATATAAAGATAGTATAATGGCACAAGTAAGGGTGTCGAACCACAGAGACTGATTAGAACTCTACAAATTACTAGCTTTATGTGAACCCTAACTACGCAATGAAAATGAAAACTGAATTTAGATTTTTTTGTTTTGAGAGGTAAAGTAACTTAAAATGCAAGAGAATGTAAATATGAACAATAGAATGATTCAGAAACAATGGAAATGGAACTAGGGCTACTAATTTCACCATTACAAGCCAATTCCATGAAATTAAGTCAAAACACATTCAACTCTCCAATCTGCAACTAGGGTTCGTTTTACTCATTTATGATCATCCATTTGATATGTGGTTATGATCAAGTACTCCTAATCTGCAACCTAGTTGTGATGTTCAACTTAGTTTACCAAATAAGAATCCATTAAGAACTTGAAAACTTCAAAGAACCAAAGAAATCACATGGCATGATGTATGCATAACAGTTTATTCATTCATTCATATGTCTAGCAAGATTAAGCATGATGTGTACTATAACCTTGATCACATAATCTGTAAGCAGCCCTAATGGTGATCAAACATTAAGATTAACAAACAAATTATACTATAACATCAATGACTAAAACAAGAACACATATTGGTAATTTGAATACTTTAACTTAATAACATAGAGTAGGTTTGCAAGGCTACATCAAATTCCCCAACTATGAACTTAATTACACAACATGATTACAAAATATATAAATATCAAGAACAACATGAGTGAAATTGAAGTTCATAAAAGAAACCCCCTTGAAAAAATTCTGATGTTGAACTTCTCCAAGAACAGCGCAGTTGCGTGGTTTCTTTGGTGGCTGCAGATAGTGAATGAAGAAAGGATTTTGTTTCTGGAAGAAAGGCCAAAGAAAGAGAAGAGATAGAGAGAGCTATGGGCGTCCCCAAGGGGAAGCTTTTTGTAAAAGTGGCTGAAACTCTTAGTTTTATAAGGTTAAAGAGGCTATTACAGATTGTCAATACATCCCAGTAATTGGGCATTTAATTCCCATGTTTTTTTGCTGTTATTGGTCTTATAAAGAGTTATATTCATCACCATATTCAGTTTCTACTTTTAATTCTTTGTCTACATCAGCATCATTATTCAATTCTCCATTTTACCACCATTTTGCCTTATTTGTCCTCAACTGAGCTCCAAAATACGATTAGCTGCACACTAATACAAAAGAGGGTAAAATGCAACTAATTTAACTCAAAAATATCACAAAGAGACTAGAAATGGATGGTATAAATGTATGAAATATATGAGTTATCACCATTATGTTTTGTTAACTAACATATATGAAATATCAACATCAATAATTCAATATTTAATCAACTAAATAATATTGTAAAAGCCAAGTATTCTTGTAGTGGTTGTTGAGTCAAAGGAAAATCAAAGGGAAAATATTTGGTAAATGTTTTCACCTGGCTAGTTCCCTCGCGCAAAGTTAGAAATCTTGTTAAAGAACTACTATAGGGTGGTCTAGTGGCTAAGAACGAATTTTAAGTTCGTGTGCCACACGGTACGTTCTAAGTTTGACTAATGTGACTGGTGAATCATATGATGCTGGTCAAAGGAAAATTGAAATATCTCTGTGAGTCTTCCCGGTCCCCTAAAAGATGGACTGCTACGACGAAACCACCCGCTCGTCCCCTTTAAAAAAGTTCTTGTTAAAATAGGGAATTAGGGGAGAAGATAAGGAATTAAAAATTGTTGGAACTTCATTCCAATGAAGAAACTTAGGAAACGAGCCTATATAGTTTGCCAACATGTTGAAAGAGAAGGCCAAATTGATTGGTAGGTGAACCCACACTTCCTTAAAACATTCTCACAAATGCAAAATCATCTTGACTTATAATTTATTTTCTTAAATTTTTTTGGATTTCTCTTAAGATAAAAAGAGAGTACAAAAATTATTTTTCTATAAAAATACGAAAGTATTCAGAACGTCGACACGCATCAAAATACTACATAATTGGGACTTTAGGGACTCATACTGTTGTAAACTTGTATATAAATATAACTTGTAACAAAAGACAAATCACGGTTTAGGTGCATTTAGGTACGACTGAGTTACAGTTAGTTCATCAGACAAGCTAGCTAAGCTACCCTCTCTGTTTTTCACAAATGCACCACACAGTTTCAAGTCCTTCCTCCCAATTTCCCAAACTCAAATTTCACACGAAATCTTAATTCCCATTAACCCTTCTACTTATATATTCTCCCAACGTTGTGTTTAAATCCAAAACCCAGGTCTTCGATTTCACATCGGAAGGTCTAAAAACACCTGCATTTCTCGAGTTTTTTCAGCCATGAAGTTCACAACGTTGGCAGCAATGATGGCGGCTGTGGCCGTCTTCGGCCTCCTCATCGATGGCCACGACTGCAAAATCGTGCAGTTTATATTCGGGGACTCCCTCTCCGACGTCGGAAACAACATGTACTTGAGCAAGAGTATCGCCCAAGCAAACCTGCCTTGGTATGGCATTGATATGGGCAATGGACTGCCTAATGGAAGGTTCTCTAATGGCCGTACCGTTGCTGATATAATAGGTAACGTATGTTGTAGCGGTTTCGATTCTGTGCAGGACGTCCTGTCCTTTTTTAAAGATATGACATGTTGGTAAAACCTCGGTTACTCAAACATAGAATTTGTTGTCGCGTTTATTTTTCTGCTAAACTTGTTTGTTTGTTTAGGTGATAACATGGGGCTCCCACGGCCACCGGCCTTTCTCGATCCGTCTTTAAATGAAGACATGATACTCGAAAACGGAGTGAACTACGCCTCTGGAGGTGGTGGGATTTTGAATGAAACCGGTGGCTACTTTGTAAGTTGCAGCCTTAAATGTAACAAAAACACATAAAAATTGAGCTTTCAATTAAGATTGTGCGCGATTTGATAAAAAATGTGTTTGCAGATTCAGAGGCTTTCGCTCTACAAGCAGATCGAGCTTTTTCAAGGAACACAAACACTTATCAGAAGCAAAATCGGTGAACAAGCAGCGGAGAAGTTCTTCCAAGACGCTCGTTATGTGGTTGCTTTAGGCAGCAACGACTTCATTAACAACTATTTG